ATGATTATCCTAGAAGATGCCAAAAAATTAACTCTTTAATTGAGTACACTGAGAATGCAGCAACCTCAGTTATTTCAAGCCATAAGCTCATCCATACAACTATCCTACTTAATTCCTGCACAACAATGTAATTGTAAACCAGAGTTTTTCCTCTGAAGAAATGTCTTACTATAAATGTTGATATAAATGACACACTGGTGTCTCTTGCAAACTTAACAAGAATTAAGAGGATGTCAAATTATGCTACATTTGAGAAACTTCAAATGAAGTTTTTTGGATTACTGTCAATTCATTACCTCTTTTAGAGGTGACGACCTCCTTGTTTATCTCTTAAAACTCTTGTTTTACTCTTAAAACTTTTTTCTGTCTCTCAACTTTGTAAAAAAAAATTCTGTAACAGAAAAGAATTTATCCAGCTTTAAACTTTTCTTGTGATTTAACCTTGATGCTAGTTTGAACTGGATGATGGCAGGTACCTGCTTTTATGACAGGAGGAAGATTCTGTTACAAGTAATCAATATTTTGTTTGTTTAATAACTAAGGGATTTCTTGAGCATATAACTGAGGAGTTAAATATTTGGCAGGGCTATGAAACATGTTAATTAAAATTTTAAGTTACACGAATCCTACAGAAGGATTTAATAGAAGCTACACTTGAAGAGACTATTTTAGTACTTCAAGCAAGTGTGCCATGCTAATAATATAAAGTTTCAAAGTACTTTATCTATAAAAGCCAGGAGACTTTGATATACACAATCTATATTTTTTAATGCAAGTGAGAGAACTTTCAAGCACTCTTAAGAACGTCAAGCTTAAGAATTTATGGGACTGCAGTGATATTGCAAAGGATATAGTTTTTCAAAACAAAATTTCAAAGGCATTACAAAACCTGGTGAATTAGGAATGGAAACTACTGTCCAGTTAAAATACATCACTGCAAGCAGAGAAACTCACCACTGATCATATACTTAAGATAGAAGAGACAGAAGGAGAATCCCAAACAGCCCCCAAAGTACCCAACTGCATTTTTGAAAACAAGCTGCCACCTAGACTTAGACCTGAAGAACTTACAGCAATTGTAGAGTTTTACCTGTAATTGATACTGGTTTTATATGAGCATTAAAATGTTGTTGTAACTTGAGGTTTTTAAAGGCTTCTTGCATTAGCCCCAAACAGCCAGACAATGTGAGCCAACAAGGGTAAGACAGTCTATGTGGGATCTAACTTGAATTTAAGACGCTAAATTTTCATTAAACTTTCTATCTCAAGTAATTACTTAAACAAACTGGAGGTTAAAAGATTTTGAGGTTTTATGTGAGAACCTTCAGAGCTGCTTCATCAAGTCACAGAATTAAAGCCTTCCTCTCATTACAAAGCTTCCTGTTTCTCACAAACATTTTCAGTTGTGCTAGGTCAGAAAAAAGACCTTTTTAAATAGACTTGTCATTAGAACTAGCTGGATTATCTATGATAATTATCTGTGCTCCATTTTAGGATTTAATACCACTTTCCTCCACAATAAACCTAGGTATGATTTGCGTGGGTGATGCAGTTTGCATCTTTCTGGGGGAATAACGGAACAAATGACAAGTTTTATTGCTTTTTTTTTTTGACACCTTTTTTATATGAAGAAAGAAAAAAACCCATATATTTATGATTAATAGCTTTGTTTGCTTACTTCTGTCAGGTTTTCCCCCAGGGTATAGTAAAAATCTTTACAGTATGACACTAAAAGGACTGTCATGTCCCTGAAATTGCATTGCATAAACAATTACATGTAATTCAGCTCATGGCTTCCTCAGAGGCTTCCTCAAAGGCTACATTATTTGGTTTCTGACTCTGAAATATCTTCTCTGTCATGTCTTCCAACACTAAAAATGGTAAGAGGAGACTTTATCAAAGCATAGTTCTACCTTACAATGGGAAAAGCCTTTTATTCTTTAACACAGGGGAAAAAGGCTGAAGGGATCCAGTTTTTGGGAGCTATAGAATGGTACATTCAGAGAGGAAATAAGATTAAGGTTTTGCAATTAGTTAACCACTGGAACATATTGTCAAGGAACGAAGAGGCTTGTCCATCATGAATGAGACTAAGAAGGAAGGACATTTTCAGGCCATGTTCTTTGTCCATCATTAAGTGCAAGATCTGTTCCAGGACCACTGGATCTAACTCTATTGCCTTTCAGAAGATAATCACAGGCATCATCTGTGGCCCCAAACTCTACAAATATATGGAGGAAATAAATCTCTTATACTTTTGCTGAATTGGTTATGAGGAAATAAAATGTGTCACAGGCTGCAGAGACAGTCAATGATAAAAGGAAAACAACAAACTACTAACAAACACCATTGCCTGGCATGGAAAGAGATCATCTCCAAATGCTTTTTATTGGAAAAAATGGTGGATAAGTTTGGCTTTGGGCTAATAAAATACAGTGAAAAGTGATGGGTGTGCAGAGTAAAAAGTCTGAAGAGCTGTCTTAAAGCAAAGGAATACTGAAGGATTAACTTCTGATGTGGAAATAGTACCTTTTCCTTTGACCCCCAAATAATTTTTAGCAATTTAAATATTTATGTAAAACAGAAGTTTGGTTATTTGTTTTTCCTGTCTTATTGTGAAGTATCATTGTTCAAATATTTCCTTGTGTATCAGTGTCATCACCTAAATAACATGCAAAGATCCTGCCTAAAAGATTCAGTCCTGTCATGCACGACTGAAGAACTGAAGTGGTTTGAGAAGCACAACCAGGTCCTATGGCTCTGAGTTCCATGTCAGCCATCTACAAATACTTGTGTCCAAGTAGAAGATAAGCAGTATTAAAGAGAAGATGAGAAAAATTGTGTAAAACTCATGCAGACCGGGTTTTCAATGTGAGCACTAATGTGTTCATCATTCTTCAGAATTGAGCCACTTCTCAAGGAAGTTCAAAAATAAAATATAGTAAGCAGAATGAAATATTTTCAGTCATTAAATATTTCCACTGCATCTTGCAACCAGAGAATCCACTGGATGAAAAATGAATTTCCAGGAGTAAAATAAAATAATATGACAATGTGAGAAAATGATTGTTGTAAAGTGTTTACTCTCATCCCTGAACATGTAGGCTCCTGCTGTCCTTGGTGGGGATAAATTTGACAGCCACTCTAACAAGTAATGTGAATAAAAGGTGTATCATATCCACCGGTGTGAAGAAACTGTCTTCACAACACACAGCCAGAATGTCTGCTGATGCTGATTTTTTCAGCTAATTCTGTGCTCTCCAATTGATGTGCAACTTCTTTATTTCTGGAACTATTAGCATCCTCTCTACAGCTTCAAGGCTATTTCTTGCAATTGTCCTTTTTATAATATTAGTCTAGGAAGACTGGCATGAAATAAAACCCTGACAAGAAATCAAAGAGTAAGTTATTTTCTAAAGGAGTTTCCCTGGAGAATCAGGTCAAAAGCCTACTTCTAGCCTTGAACACTTGGAAGACATGAAAGCAAGCTTTGTTTTAGAAGCTCAGATGTCTACACACAAAGATGATAATTGTTTTCTCTTTTTTTCTGTTTATTGCTTTTGAAGAAATTCAGTTTGAGACCTGGGATGCATCAAAGGAAAATGTGTATTTGGATGAGCTTTGTTTGATGGCAGGAGCTTTCCTTGTTAAGTCATCAAAACAGCCTGGAGTGAGAAGGTAGCAGAAGCTCTTCTGGAAAAAGAGTACCAAGCATCACTGAGGACAATCACAGGCACAGAAACTCGACTGCTTTTATGTTCTGTCCTTTTATGTGCACACAATTAAGGAGCTGGATGTCACACGTGTGAGGAGCCAAGGCATCTGATCCAAAACTCATCAAGTCAATATAAACAAGCCCTTTGACTTCAGATGATCTTGGGACAAGCCCTCAAGGATTTTACGAGTCAGAGTTTTTCCAACATCATTTGGATAATCTTCCAGGTGGGGGTGGTGGAGGGTGGTTTCAGAAGCAGACCGGAGCTCTGCGTATTGGTTGTGACTTTGAATGGCTTTTCTTGCATTCTTTATTGCAGTGCAAAGTCTTTTATGGGAATACCAGCACGTACTCACATAATGAAATTCTTATTGCAACAGTCTAGAACACTGATAAAGTGTTTCTATGTAACAACAGATCCTTTTGGCTTTTGTTCCATTACAGCCCATGGATATTTACCTATGGAGTGAACAGGGACATCCTGCCTATGACCTCGCTGCCAGTATTCAGAAGGATTGGGTTATTCTGCTGATTCTCTTTAGTTTTATGTGCCTTGTGCATTAAAAAAAAAAAAAAAAAAAAAAAAAAAAAAAAAAAAAAAAGAACCAAACCAACCAATCAACCAAACTCCCCCAACTGAATAATCCAAACCACTAACTCACAGCTGCACCAGAACATCTCTTTCTCTTGCAATCAAACCTAAGCCAGTTCAGCATGTACCAGTCCATTCCAGGGACAGATCTCACAGGTGTTCTGTGAGATTGTGCAGGCAGAAGGTCCAGGCTGGAGATGTGCCTTTCCCATGAAGCCTTCACAGGAATGGTGTCACAGAGCTTTGTGTTTCACCCAACATTCTTATTTTTATTTTAGGATTTTTTTTTTGCTTTTGAGAGATAATCTCCATTGTCACATTAATTCCTGTTCAACACTTTTTAATGCATGTATTATTTATCTTTGGAAGATCCTTTATGCTCTTGTGTGAATTCCAATTGTTATGGCTCATTTTAATTTCCTTTAAGGCCCTTGGCCACTTTTTCTGTTGCAGCATGGCTGGTTCCACTTAACAGAAGCTTTGTTATGCAGATACACGAAGCTTCTGTGCCCCACCTTTGAACTTCTGAATAAACTGCACCACTCCATCTGATATATTTTATACAGTCAAATACAAAGGAGATGACAGAGCATAAAGCATGGGCAAAGTCATGCTTAACTCTAGCATGTACAACAAACAAAAGAATTTAATTTGGGATAGGTGTCAAGCAATTTAATTTTCAATTTTTTTTCCTTTTGTCTGATTTGGATGCCGATATATATTGGGGGTGACATATATATATCTATCATGTAGCTGTATATCTGGTCCAGATAAATCTTCTTATATCCAGAAACCTTTATCAGAGTCACACTGTAAATAAGAAAAATTCTATAGCAAAGGAAGATGCTTCTCAAACTCAAGTCAGTCTCAGAGGATTTGATCTCAAGACTGCTTCTGACGAATACTGATGTCTGAACATTAGGTATTCAAGCAAATGGTACTGTTTGACAATACCAGTAGTAATTTCAAGTGTTTTCTCCTGTGTAATTTCTTTTTTCACAGTTTATCATATCAAAACAGTTTGAAGAGAGAAAATAGCCATGACTTTTCCATTTAACCAAACCCTTGTTTTCTCTCATTTATTTGTTGCCTCTAATCATGACACAATGAAGTCAAGTCTTTGGGTAAAGGCCCTTCCTTTCATTGTGTGTAACATCATTAGGGACTGTGTGATTTGGGTTTCCATGTCTGAATAGAAATAATTAGAAAATATGATTTACACTTTTTATTTTGTCTGGGAAAGCTGTTGGGATAATTTCTCCCTTTCTCTGTCTGTAGTGAGAAAAATTAAAGTAGGTAAAGGGCTCAAAGGCAGTCTAGAAAGCTGTATCTGAACTCCCCCTGCCATGGGCAGGGACACTTTCCACTAGAGCAGGTTCCTCAAAGTTCCATCCAACCTGATCTCAAATGCTCCCAGGGTTGGGGCATTCACAGCTTCTCTGGCACCAAGGACAGTGGTGCACCAGAATAAAGAGGGTTGTATTTGCTCAGGTTTTAAAAGTTACAGGATTTGAAACACAAAGTTGTTAAAACCACATGCCTGCCAGTGCATGAGGAAACAGTCAGAGGGTAGATGTAATGCTGTGAAGCATCTATCCTTACCTAAACGTGTGCAAGTGTGAAAGTTTGGAGCCCACATTAATGTTCTCCAAATCAACATCTAAAATATTTTCACAGGTGCTCAAAACAGAAAACTGAATTTACACATTTTGCTCCCCAGCAGAGACCAAATTTAATTCAGTGTGTTCTTTGTAATCTTTGACCATCACAGTCACCTTGCACCAGAGCAGAACAAGATAAAAAAAAGTCATGCCTCAAATCCCTGAGATTTCATCAGAAGGAAAAAGATCACAGCACTACTGAGAGCAACTTAAGTGTCAAAGTCAGGTAGAAAAGATTGCTCTTTGGGAGTCTTCAAAGCAACTGTTTCTCCCCAGTGGCTTTATAAGGAATTTATGCACTTACTTTACAGGGACATCTTCACCAGAACATAAAATTTAGGTGCAAATTAGGCACCTACATTCCTTCATATGATGCATCGTTACTGGCTTGGCATAGAGATTTGCAAGAAATTGAATCAAACAGCCTGAAGGATGTACAAAATACATGCATATAAAAATATACAGATAATGAATGTTACAGCTATATGCACAGACTCCTAAAACAAAACTGACTGCAGCCCAAATGCTCACAGCAGCCAGAAACAGGAACACCCGGATTTGGAGTCAGGCTGGACATATCACTCTGCATCCTGCACATTGGGGTGGGGGACACCAAAGCCCTTCACAACACTATCTGATATTTGTTAAGTCCACATAAAAGAAAGGGTTTGAAGTTTGGGATTCTGCCCTTCTCCTTCATGCTCAGCCCCAGTGCTGCTGATTTTATAAGATATCCAAAGACAGATACCAAAGAACGAAGGGAGGAACTTGCCTCAAGGCTATTGAAATGTTCTTGGTAATAGGTTAAAAATGTGAAGCATTTAAAGTGTCTGATGTTCCTTTTGATATTCTCCAGGCAATTTCCTAAATCAGCTTCAAATTTTAGTCATTTTCGGCTTTAGAACAAGCAGCGACACAAATGATTAAAAGAAACAACAACAAAAAATTAACACACACCCAGATGGTAACTATTATCTGAGCCAGAAAATAGAGACAAATACATCCACTTAGGGCAAACTAACATATTGTATTATATCACTATGATGTACTGTAATGGGATATGATTTACATTAAAACTTGTGAATTAGAGATTTAACTTATGGCCTTTCTCCACAAATTACAACAACAAACAAGAGCAGGAAAATCAGCTCTAATAACAGCATGCATCCCATCACAATTTGATGGATTATTTCTAGACCAAAGGCATGGATAAAATATTCAAAAGTGTAATTTCGTAACAGCATTCCAGAAATATGATTTAAACAAAAATCCTGATTCCCTGCAGTCAGTAAAGGTTTTATGGCAATCCTCCCAAAAATTGGGGTATTTTACGTGAGAATTCGACTACAAAACACTCCAGAAGAGTTAGGCAGATGGTGTCACCATGGCTTATTTTGTTAAATGTAAAGGTCTCAGTTTTGCTCCCTCCATGTCTTTGCTCATCCACTTCTTATCTTGTATCATAACATCCTAAGATACCCATTTTAGGGACTATCTTCTAGCTCAGTGTGCTGAAACCCCCAGCACAAAAGGAGACAGTGCTTTGGGCTTCTCTTTGTTAATGCAACTGAGCTAAACAGATAAACAACTTGACAGGGATGAGTTTGCCAGATTTATTCTCTGTAGCAAATTGTAGTTCTAATTGCATAAGGTTATCTTCCCTGTGTGCTGTCATCTGGTTTGTGATGTGGTGCACCTCTTAAGCACTGCAAAATCCCTCAGAGACAGCTGCATTTTGTGATGGATACTACACAAACATACACATAAACACACCACGTTTCAGTTCCCTTATTTATATAACTGCTTCCTACAAAGATCTTAGGACTGAAAGTTACTCTGAGAGGGAGAATGACATGGTAAGTGGATTCCAATGATTTGAAGGTTTTTTCTCCCTAAGTGACTTGCCAGAGCCAAGCTCATCTGTATGCACCAATATTCTCTAAATAATAAAAAAAAAGGGGATAATGTTTCCTCTCCTGACGGATGTGCACTCAACTTTATCCACACTGTGCTTTAGCAGCTCTGCAAGAATGTAAAATAGCAATCTAATATCCTGCTTAAATTTGCTAGAAACAGTCACTGAGATCATGGAAGGCAACTCTTCCCTGCTGAATGTGTGCCTGCCTGACAACTTGAGACTGGGAGGGGAATGATGAGCACCCACCTCAGTTAAAACAGCTCTATTCCTTCCTGATCTGTTGCAAAGAGGGGTAAAAAAACCAAAGAAGATATTTGGGCAATAATTGGCTCCAGCAGTACTTGAATCAATGTTATTCCAGCTCCTTGGGTATCAGTGTGATGCTGGATCCTCAGCCACATGGTGAGCAACAGATGACATTTATCCTGCTGCATCTCCCCTGTTTTTGTTACAAGCTGCTGTGATTAAGGCTTGGATGGTGTCCTGACTTGTACCACAATCACAGCTCTGTTTACAGCACAGACTGACCTTTGCTTACTGACTAGAAACATGAATGATGTGTCTCTAAATGTTAGCCCTTCAAAATTAGAAAAAAATAAAAAGAAAAAATAATTAAACGGAAAAAGGAAAAAAAGGAATGATATAACTGCTTGTGTCTCCTTAGCTTTGGGATAGATTCTCCCATCAGTTAGTCATTCCTGAAATGAAGATGGTAAGAAAAAAGAGATGTGCAGAGAAGGGTGAACAAAATCCTATTTGGGATGGGTGTATCAGATAGCCAGGCTGGTGAGACTGCTCTGCTTGAGGAAACAGCTGAGATAGCTTTCATTTCTTTTGAAATTTGTGCTCACTGCCAAAGGAAAATAAGGGCAACAACAATGAAACAGAGATAACAGTATTATGAGAACTATGCCAGCAATGAAATGACAGAGGAAACAGTAACTGGAAGCAGAACGCGTCAGGGAGAGGTGGCAGATCATGTCACTGTGGTTTATTCTGTGGCAAAAGAGAGATCAAGTTTTGCAATGCTCAGGGTCAGGCAGTAATGAGGTAGGAAGCAAAGCCACAGAAGTGATTCACAAGCAGGAGGTTACACTCTCCTGTGAAAACTGGAACTTCTCACAAATTTTGTAGTGACAAATACATTTTTAGCAATTACACTGCAGACTAATTTCTCCCTCATTTGCAACTGCCTAATATGCTTTCAGGAACTGCAGCTATCCACAAGTTAAAATAAAGAAGGCAGAGATTTTTCTTGCTACCATTTTTAGCATTTTGTCCTTTTTGGATGAAATGAATCATAATGTTTACTACGGTCTTTCATTTTAGTCCCGTGTCTTATACTCCAGCTGGAAGTGGGTAGGATAACCAGCACTCTTGCCCAGTTAACTCACAGTTGGTGTTAAGAGAGGACATAACACCTGAAACAGGATGGAAAACATACGTAGGAAGGCAGAGAGACATGCCATGGAGATTGCTCCTTTGCTGTTATGCTCAGAAGGACAAATTACTGCTCAGCAGGGTGATGGAGACCAAGTTCTGCTGCTGTGGCTCCCACCAACCCCAGTCTGAGTGTGGGCACTGCCAACTCCCCCATGGCATCAACCTCCCTCCTGCTACAAGAAATCAAAAGGACAAAAACCCATGTAACATTTGGCTCTCACCCAGTCTCAATGACAGGCTTGTGCCTTCCCCCCACAAACTAAGCAAGATCTGTCAGGAGAGCAAGGAGTGGTGTGTCGTGACAAAGCTTTGTCACAGAGCTGAACTGCCAGCTACACATGTGGAGGAAGCATGAGTGCCAAAGAAAATCAAACAGAATGCAAAAAGATCTGAAAAAGAAAGGGTAATGGTAACAAGATTTAAAAATATCTCATGTAACTGAGAATAGCAAGCAGGATTTAATGCATGCTACCCTTGTTGGTGCTGTATAAATGTCTTGTTCTGTTCCATTCTGGTGCTATTCCAGGGTCAAGTATATTCAGTGTCCTTTATAATCAAGCTGTCAATATACAGTCTTGACGCTATACATTGATTTTGTGCCACAAGAAAGAGGAAGTTATCCCTTTGTGTTCAGCGCTGTCGCACTGACTAACATTTCTTAGCCCACAGTATTCAGTATCAGCACCAAGACCAGGGTATCTGCCTGGCTCCACACATTTTACCTGCAGTTTCTACACATGTATATTCTTCACAAACATGGTGATGATGTAATGTAGCAATTTATTTAGAAGCAATGGGAAATCTGTGAGATTTCAGTTTGTACCAATAAACTAGTTATACAAACTTCTGTGAACTGTAGGGAAAGGGGAAAGAAAATGCCCCTGTAATCCTCTTAAGGAAGATACAAAAATGTAGCACTTAAATAAAAAACTGTGCACAGAATAAATGAGAGTAGCAATATTTAGCACTTACATGGTTCTGTCTCTCTTCATTACTCCAAAACCTCCCAAGAGAGATCAGACTGAGCCTCAGAGAAGCTAAGTAAAGTGAAGAGTTGTATGACTTACCAAACACAGCTTATAACACAGCCAAGAAAATTTGCACTTTCAGTTCCATTTCTTAATATTAATCAGGTTGTTTTCTCACCAATTTCCCCATGCTTTTTAGCAATGAGCAGGGATGAAACAAAGGCTTTTCCACTTAACTCCCAGCTACCTAAACTGCAAATGAAAGCTTGTAATGCTTTTTCTATTTAAATGTTAGAAAAAACAGATGTTGCCAAAGCAATTCTACAAGCACAAAAATTCCATCATTATTGTCAGGTATATTTATTTATTTTGTATCCAGACAGTATTTGTCAAGAAATAGGTTACAAGGAAGATGAATTCAGCAGGAATGGAGGTGCAGGGTTGAGCTTGTGCAGTGCCAATGCTCTCCCATTACAGGTTGATATTGATATGAGCCCAGCCTGTGAGGTGTTATCTGAAAATGGAACAAGTAGAAAGCTGGAAGGAGCTCAATCAGACACCTCAAAGGTGGTACCCACACACACAGCCTGACTCTAGTGTACACATCTCTTTATCATTGAATCACACCATGGTTTGGGTCAGAAGGAACCCTACAGATCATCTGCCATGGGCAGGGACACCTTCCATTAGACCAGGTTGCTCAAAGCTTCATCCCTCCTAGCCTTAAGCATCTACAGGGAGGGGAAATCCACAACCTCCCTGGGAAGCCTGTGCCATTCCCTCGCCCTTAAAGTGTTTCTTCCTTCATCTAATCTAAACCTGCCTTACTACATTTGAAAGCTGTTTGCCAATGTCCTATCACCACAAGTTTTTAAATGTCTCCTGAGAAGACAACTCAAAACCTTGCCAAGGAGCCCAATTCAGTGCTTAGCCGTATTCGTCACAAGACTTTCCTACAAGCTGACTTAAACCTCCTATTTCAGGTATAGCTTCCCAGCCAGCAAATTCCCCTTTTACGTTTGTGCATTTTGATAGGGTTTTTTCCCCTCCTACCTCCACATCTACATACAGAATTGCCTCGCACTGATAAACCAATCAACAGAAAGTCACCTCTGTATTCTCCAAGCTTTCCTCTCCTCTCCTCTCCATGAGGTGATCATCCACACGTCAATGCCCCTGAGACAAACAGGGGACAGCCTTGCCATGGGCCAGGCCATGTCTTGAGGTGGTCTTGGGCTGCCCTCTCAGCTCAGCCACTCTTCCTTGGTTTACTTGAGAAGATGTTACATGTGACCATATCACAGACCTTATTCAAATCCCAACATTCCACCTTCACCCGTTCCTTCTCACCTGTCAGAGGGTGCTCAACACCCTGCTAAATGCAAGCAGAATTAGTTGGTCTTTTACTTTATCAATAAACCCCAATTACATAGCTTTAAGTTACTCTCAGTGAAAGGTTTCTTACTAAACAATGTTATTTGCTTCACTCTCTTTTTTTTTTTTTTTCCCTAACCTGAAAGTCTTTAAGTAGCCAACACCAAATCCTTAGGGAGCTGGCTGACTCACAGTCTTCTTCCAACAGGATCGTGTAGGTCTCTGGATATTTGTCATAGGTGGTTCTCATTCCCAAAATAGATAGAGAAGCTCTTTGAACAAGATCCACAGAAGAGTAAGATCTGTCTGCCTGAATAAGGTACAGCTGAACTGTTTCCAGTGATTACAAGATATTTCAGAGACATTTAGTGGGCAGTCTCATTTGGCTTGCAGATAAACTTTGAGGTCTGCTTTTGAAACAGGAATTGCTCAGATGATGGATTTTTAGCATTTTCATGAATTATGAGAACTGCCATAAAAAAGAAAAGTTGGGAATACATGTGTATATATTTCAAAAAATAGGACTACACACTGGTAGCCTGGGATATGTGACTTCTTGAACTACCAACTATTGACATGCAAGGTGAGCTGCTTCTCACTGGGCCTGTTCTATTCAGAGCAGAAAGATGTTGGTCCCCAGCTGCCAAGTAACCCATCCCATCCTCCTTCAGCACATTTCTCCTGCACCTTTTTAGCACAAGATGGAATTTCCATTATCTTTAAATTAGGCATCATCGATTGCAAGTGATCACCATACATGCTGAGTGGCACATTAAAACTACTTTTTAATGTCTCACTATTAAACTTGCTTTCAATATCAAACAAAACATTAAAGATCCATTATTTCTCCATGCCAGCTAAAGACTTTTTAATGAGATTAATTACAAGAGAAGAAGAACGTATTTTTCAGAAGATCAGTGTAATAACACATCTAACGTTTAGTAACTTTAAATATCATCCATTAGTTCTGATGTCATTTGAAAAATGCATGTGAATATTTATAATATTTCAAGGGTGTGAGATTAAACACAACCTAAACCTGCCCAAAATAAACCTTCCTATTTTTTTTACATGCCTAATAGACTTGTACAGCTGGGAAATTATCTGATTTTGCAGAAACACAAATAAAATGCCCACCATGATCTACACATAAAATCTGAGATAAAGGAAAAGTCATCAGCATTAACCTCTCTTGTTCTGCTCACAGAAAATAACTATTTTAAAATGGCTTTGTAGGACGATTGCTGTGTCACAATGGTGACAGGCTTCCTGCATAAATGACCAAATAGCAGTTGAGGGGCTGTGAAGAAAGAAATACATGCAAAGAGTGAAATTTAGAAACACTATATGCAGGCAGCAAAGGAAGAGTATTTATGAGTTTGTTTTTTAATCTCATTTTAGGCAGGGAGAAAAGAGAAGAAAGAGAGCAAGCACAGAGGAAATGATGCTTCACTTGCTCACTGGATCTCCTGTAGAGGATACCACAGACTTGTCTAAAAAAGAACAGCAGAGATCACCTATTTGGATTTCTAATCTCCCTTTATCTTTTTTTCTTGCCAAAGGTTAATGACTAAGTGAAAAGGAAAACTGACATACTTCTATTAAAATCTCAAGGTCAAACATAAAGGGCAGTCTCAAGTGAACCACAGAATGGTTTGGCCTGGAAGGAAGAGACCTTAAAGATCATCTCGTTCCAAATATCTCTGCCATGAGTAGGGACACGTTCCACTATCCCAAGGTGCTCAAAGCCACATCCAATCTGGCCTTGGACACTTCCAGGGTTGGGGCATCCACAGCTTCTCTAGGAAACCTGTTCAGGTGGCTTATCACCCTCATAGTGAAGAATTTCTTTCTAATATCCAATCTAAACCTACACTCCTTTAGCTTAAGGCCATTCCCCCTCATCCTATCACTACATCCTTGTAAAAAGTCCCTCTCCAGCGTTCCCTTAGGTATCTTCAGGTACTGGAAGATGCTCTAAGGATCCCGTGAACCTCTTCCTCTCTAGGCTGAAGAAGCTTAGCTCTCTCAGCCTGTCTCCACAGCAAAGGTGCTCCAGCCCTTGGACCATGTTTGTGACCTCCCCTGGACTCACTCCCATCTCTATTCAGCCTAAATCCGTGCTTAGGACTTCCCTGATGTATGTGAAAGATACTTCTCCAGCCAGAAAAAAAGTTGTTGAAGAACAAGCAGAGGCACCAAGACTTATTTTTACTGCTATTTTTATTATTAGAACAATCTGTATCTGCATGAAGAGGTCTAACTTTGCCAGAGATGCTAAATAAGAGAAAAGGAAGTTATTATTGCTTAAAGACCACGATAAATCAAACATCTGAGCACAGGAAACTTCTATGCAAAGCAGCAGAGGACTCTTGTTACAGTTCCTGGGAAAAAAAGAAAATAGCCTACTTCCTACCTGCCCAGCTAACAGAAAATGTGGCTAACCTGCTCTCATCAAGATACTGAGCTGAAATGCAAGTTTGGATGAGGAAGACAGATGGCAATGGTTAAATGCAGCAAGAACACAAAAAGCCCCAGTTTGGATTAATCTATACAATCAATTGGGCACCTATCCTTAAACATGAAAGAACAGCACAGTCCCCCGAGTGGGGGGCTTGGCTTCAGACCTGTGACACAGCCAGATGTGATGGGTCCACCAGGCTCCCTGGTACCAAACCTGAGGCATGGAAATGTATTTCTTTGCACATGCAGCTGCCTTTCCTACTTATTTCAGAAAAAAAGCCCTCACATTCAGGACACTTCTAACAGATCTTTGGTATTAGCCAGCTCAGGGGAAAAAAAGTCACCAACCAACCATGTCTCTCCTCACAGCTTCACAGCTGAGGTTTTCCCCTTTCCAAATCACACAGTACTGCAAAACTTGCAATCAAATCACAAGAACTGGCAAACTTGAAGATATTTACAACATTACAAATTAAACTGTGCCTCAGAGACTTGAATATCAGGGAGAGACATGTATTCTACAGCCTAAGGACATAGAGGTGATCTTTCTTTAAGAGAAAGGACAATGGCACGGTTGATCAGTCCCTAAATTAAAATCTAATCCAGAAAATATATTTTTCTAATGTCCATCTGATTCTGAAAAAATCTATGAGTCTGCCAAAGCAGGGCTTCAAGATAATTGAAGCAACAATTTATTCCCAAGATACTTTGCTGGCCTTCTCTCATGTCACATACTGCCAAGGCTCTCTGTCACCCATCCTTTGGGGCCTCCCAGTTTATTCTGATTGAGGTCAGGTCTTCTCACTCAAAGGAGTCTGATGGCAGAGCCCCATCCCTGATCATGCTTCCCAGCTTCTTGCTGCTTTCTTCTCCAAAAATTCAGCATAACATCAGGCCAGGTGGGCTATTCCTGCCTATTTTAATTTTCTTTCTTCCTTAATGCCCAACTGCTCTGTTCTGGGGAGCTGCAAGAACATCTGCTACAAGAGCAGACTTGTATTTATTGCTACTTACTGCTGCATGATACCACATATATGTACAGCATGTTTTATGTGTTTGGTGCACAGCAGAGCCAATGTGAAATACGAGAGATTAAAGGAAAACAACTTCAACATAGTCCTCTTGAGAGGTGGGAAAGAGTAGGAGCCTTGCTGTAGCCCAGCTCTGAGGCAGGTGCAAATCAAGACCTCCACTTTCCAGGAAGAAGTCCAACCTCCCACGTGGCTGCAATTCACTTTGTGGTGGATTTTGGATGGAAATAGCCTTCATCAGGAGAGAGACTATGAAGGTGTGAGCAATGTCAAGGTGGGGATGTCCCCCTTGCTGTCTGAGCGCCCAGACCCGTGGCAGGGGCAGGAGGAGGTGCAGAGTGGGTGCACAAGGCTGGCTGCTCACAGGGGGATGGATCCAGGCCCTACCAGGCAGGAAAGGGATGGCAACCCTGGTCAGTGCCACCCTAGGTGCAGAATTGAACTGCTGAGTTACCAGGAGAAAGGGCAGCCATGCACTTCTCCCCCTCTGTGAAGTCTGCCTTTCTTTCCCGCACTTTTCTATAAAGGACTAAGCCTTTTCTTGAGTGCATTGGACTCCTTTGTTTGACAGTAAAACCTCATTCTCCTTGTACTTTCTTTTTCCTCTCCAATTTGCAGTTCTTGTGCTGATCAGAAGAAATAGATCCAGTGCTGTTTAGTCATCTAGGAGCATTTAACTGGTGTTGGTGATGATATTTTTCAATTTGGCAGTCTACCAGATGGATCAATTATTTGCCAAGCCTTAATTTTAAAGCCATTCACTGTACAAATTGCAGGTCAGGACAGTAAGGGTTTGTTTTTCAATCAGCTTCTGGGCAAGAGCAGGATTCCTCAATATTACAATACTCTAGTGGCTCTTGAGCAGAGAAGCAGCTGTGCTGTGCAGACACACTCATGAGCACAAACAAACCCAAAACTCTCAGGTGGTGGTGTTGGTTGGTCACCTCACAGATTAGTTGTTGTTTTAAGTAGGCAATGTCCCTTGGAGACAGCAATTTTTCATGTATTTAAATATCCTGCTTGCTCAAGAACAGCAGGGACAACAGGCAGAAAAGCAGGATGGGGAAATAGGCCTGTGGGCACCTCTAGTAGCACAGTGCTTCTACTGTAAATTTACAACATCCCTTCTTTCAAGCCCTCTCAGAGCTCTGTTTGCTTCCACACACACCTGCCCTGAAAATGCCAACACTGTTGTAACAAAAGCAGCAGACTGATGGACAGAGCAGGGCTGTCTGGTTCCACTGCAGCTCACGCTCTTCTAGTACTGCCTGGATGATTTCCACAATAGCACTCACTTAATTGCAACAGCTACCTAAAGTACCCCATTTTGCTTTATTTTACTCCCAACGGGAAAAAAAACCCCAGGATGCTTCATGCAACTCAGCCAGTGGAAAAGAAACAGCAAGGATCCAGGTGGGAGGGGAGGAGGAAGCAAACAGTACCATGACCAAAGTCCCATCTCGCTGCTCAGTGCCCTGCTACTGCCGGGGGTTTGGGCATGTCAGAAGTGAGCATGGCACGAAGGCTGGGATGCCACATGGAGCTTACTCAGTTTAGCCCTGCTTGGCCCAGCTCTGGAACGAGTCCTTTCCTTCCTTGTGGGGATGGTGTAAGATCCCCCACATCCATGGTGGGTTCAGCTCACAGGAATGCATCAGCTTTCTTTCTACTCCTCACTTCACCACCCTCCATCTCACCCAGTCTCCAGGCTTAGAAAAAGAAAGTGGTATTAGGGACCGCAGTGTCCTCTTCATCAGAAGAAATCCCAGCCTTTCCAGGAAGATTCTCAACAGGGAATCTGCAGTTGATTTTTAGCCTGATTTGTGCAAAGTGAGCTCTCACACACTGAAGAATGAAATTGCAAAAGCTTAATGGAAGCACAACAAAAATATAATTTAAAATGCAGGCAAGAAAGCAAGGAGAGACAGTCCTCAACTGTGAAAAGTTTGGGGTTATTTTGAAATTTTACTATAGGATGTAGCAGACAAAGCTGCTGCTATTATTTATTGAGAAGTGTCCCATGTGCACAGTAGGGCTTTGCAAACAAATGAGACAGTGTCTGCTCCAAGCCGAGACACAAACAGTTTGACATCTGAATACACCAGAGACAAGCTCTCTGTGAAGTGGTGTGGATATTTTCAGAGATCATTGCTGGAAGTCTTAAGGGAAATGGGGTGTTTGCAGGCAGAAGGCATTTCATAGAGCAAGGCATTTCTTACTGAATACATAATGCAAAGGAGTTTCAACAGTAAACAGGACACAAAATGGGCAGGTAGCAGACATTTGGGGGAAAATGAAAAATATTAACATGAAATTGTTAAAAGAGGGAAGTTAGGAAAGAAATTACTTAAAGGACATATGGACAGAGGGCATAATTGAAAGAGACATTGGACAAGTCAGTGTGACATGGCTGAAGTGGTGGCCAACACTGACCATGGAGTTCAATTCAGGTCTGATGTCACCCATGAGCCAAGTGTGCCATGGGTGACATCACCCCAACACCTTCATGGAGATGGGCTAGAAGGCTTTCCTGTTTGTGAAGCTGTGAGTGCTATGGACAGGGTACCACGCAGGAACAGGAGACTCTGTCCAGTTTGGAAACCCTCTGGAGACCAGGATTTCATCAACATCTTTATATTTAGAAAAGGCACATGTGGAGGACAACTTGTGAGCCCTCCATCACCTCTTGGCCCACAGTGGATATGCCCAGTCATGAAGCAATTTGATCAGTTAGGGGTTAAAAACTCTTCAGTGCAACAGCCTCTCTCTTGAGTCTGAGTTTGGCTTTTTCAAATTCCAGCTGAGGAAGGTGAGAGCAAAGGCATCATATGGCAATGTTACAGGGAGATTGAGACCCGAGTCCTGATCCATGCAAGGATCTGTTTGTTAATGGAAGGAAGCCCTTTCCATTTTGGAGCTGCCAAAACTTGCAGTGGAAGGAAATGCTATGTGAAGTCAGGCTGTTGCTTAAGGATGCAGAGGCCAGTGGTGTGATGAACAGCCAACTACTAGAAATTGCTTATCAACTCCTTGGTGCCCAAGTCAGACCACCCACTTTGCTCTGAAAGAAGCTATTGGAACAATTATTTCTAGCAAACTCTTTGCCAACCCACTGAAAAGTAACTTGCAGACCTAGCTGGGATGTGTGGGGAAGTGGGGACAGCCCCCTGCCATCTACCACCACCTGCAGAGGACCCACAATTCACAGGATGCACTATCAACAACCTGACTTCTTCAACCCCATAAAAATGAAAACTAAAGCACAGGAAAAGAGAACGGGAAATTTTTCTCTCCACAATGAACTCCCTTGGAACTGGACATTTTAGCTCCCATTCAATTTGTGCAGTGTATTTATTAGCCATAAAGCATACATATGCATTTTGCTGGAGAAATGCAGCACAACTGGCTCATCAGGTTTTAGTGGAATAGGTGATACTATTGAGTTGTCTCAATCTGCTCTGCCTGACAGGTGTGCTTGGGCTCTTCCAGCTAGCCTCATCATCTCCAGGGCTCTGAAGATTGCAGCCATGGGAATAGAGTCTCAACTTGAAGAGCTGCCTCCTTGCTATTCATAAGCAATCCCTTAAACTAAGGGTGGAAACACACACCTCCAGCCATCAACCCAGCTCAGTGAGTTGTGTACTACAGGCTTTGCAAAAAAAACTGTTCTTTAGGTTAAAAAATCCCTTTCAATATTTCAGCAGCAAAGACTGCACACCTCAGAAGGACTTTTTGTTTATTTGGCTGGGCTCTTCCTTTCTTTGGGAGAAAAATCTTGGATTTATACAGGCAATGTTTCAATGCCAATATACACTTTCAAATCCACTTCTGTGTCACTTCAGGGAATTGACAGGACATCCGGTATCAATGAGTATTTATGTGTGGACATGTGCACACAGACAGGGTGATGGTGCAAACCTGACGGCATGAAGCTTTGAATAAATGTGCCATGAAAAATAATAAATCAATATTTAACGTGGCAATAAATTATTACATGTCTTCTATCTTGCTACATCAGGAAGACCTAAAAGGCATCACAGCACAAGAGTGACTTTTCTCCTCCACTCCTAAATAAACCTCAGGGGCTAAGCCCCCCCAAACCTAGAGTTAGAATACAGCTTCAATAAACATAATGAAATGCAAAGCAGAACAGTTATGTACAAAAGTGCTGAAGCTGCCCATAGGAATCATGAACCAAAAGTCATGTGGGTGCTCAGCTCCAGCCATCCCGATTCAAGTCAATGCCAAAGCTTCCTCATTTCAGCTGGGCAAATCCTGTCCTTAGTTTTTATTGAAGCAGCAAGATTTCTGTACTTGCTGGGGTAAGAAATAAATAAAACAGAGAAGAGGAGCTCTCCTGATATCTGCACAGCACTGCTTGTCCCTCTTTTAATGGCTGCACAACTGGAAGTGGATAAAGTTCTTCTGAGACCGAGTAGAAGCCTTTCATTCCCTCTCATTTTGGAGCTTATTTTGGGCTGTGGAAAACATGGCCAGCGATCTTGGCTGAACTAAAACCTTCAAGTATTTTTGACGCTGCCCTGGCGCTGCCTTTGCAGTCCTCAAAATCCCTCTGTGTATCATTTATAAATAACCCTGTCCATTACAAAAGGCGGGAACATCACCCCAGCTGCACTGGGAGCTCACTGACCAGCTCCTGGCCTTCCCTGTTGACCTGACAGTTAACTTGGAGCTGCTGCCTGCCTGGAGCATCCCCTCCATGCTCTGATTCATGCTGAGAGCAGAGAAAGACGAGAGCTTTCAGTTTTCTGTTTCTACTGCATGGGTGGGAAAAAGGATGATTTGGAAAGGCATTCACGGGCCAGGCTATAAGCAAGGTATTCCCATATGCTGCAGGAGCATATGCAAGGTAAAAAGAGATGGTGAGGGATGTGAAAAGGCATTTTTACCCAGAGAAGCTCCTTCTGAGTACACAGAAATCATCATAAGGCTTGGAAGGCACCTTAAAAATCACCTCATTCCAACCCCCTGCTGTAGGCAGGGATGCCTCACACTAGACCAAGTTTCTCCAAGCCCCATCCAACCTGGCCTTGAAAACTTCCAGGGGTGAGTCGTCAACAACTTCCTCCATGTGCCTGCTGCATGGTTTTGCTTTTGCTTCTTTTGAGTGAGCCATCCCACAGCTGTGCTCACTGGCATGCCCCTGTATTTACAGGGCAAACTCAGCAAGATGTTAAAAGCCAGTGCTGGAATAGACAAAGGAGCAGATGACATGCTACCTGCTTCTCAGCCTGCTCTTGGGTAATTTTACTCCTTTCCTTGAGCACCTAGGTGTCATGACAACCTCAGACTACAAAGAATTAAGTACATAAACTACATTAGCTGTAATAGTGTTATAATGTACATAACCTCTTACTAGGGAATTGGAAATTTAAGCTGATGTTTTCTTTTGCAGTAGAGGTAGAAAGCCAAGACAGCACGTTAGGTGGTGAAAGTTAGAAGGGAAAAAGAACAGGTTTTTTCAGACGCTTACTGCAGAGTGCCTACAATATCGTACAATAATAAGCTGAAAATACAGACTTTATTTCCCTTTAGAATTCAAACGCTTGTACATCAACAGGGCATCTCTAATATCTAAGTAATAAGCATAGCTGCTCCGTAAGGACACTATTGAAACCCAAATTCCCTCAATACAATTTCAGATTGAGAGTGTGAGCTCAGGGAAAGAGAACTTTATTACATTTCATAAGGTTCTCTTAAGCATTTTCTGAATTTAAAGCTAAAACCGCAACCTCCAGTGGGACAAAGTACTGCATTCTCCTCAATCTGCATTCCTTTGTCTGATACGCTGGACAAAGTAAAAATGCTTTTATTATATCTGCAGACTTTGAACATTACATTGAAGAGTTCTGAGGACAATGACGAGCAATATATATGTATAATGCTACTATTACGATGTTCAGATTTGTTTGCTTTGCTTTGGTACATATAATGCACCAGCAAAGCTGATGAAAATTTGTGTATTTTCCCTTTCTTTCTGATAACTGATTACACCAGGCATGTCTGGGCAGAAAGCATTTGCTACAGTGCTTGAAAAACCAAGGTACAAACAATTTGAGGGCCATTAGGTGATGAGATTTGTTAGTGAGCGGCACCGGTGAAATGAATGTCCACACAGCAGTAATTGAGGAGTTAATGATTTTCAGTTGTCCCCAGATGACTGTAATATTTCTGTATCTTCTCAAAGTTTAAGATTAAACAAGTTAGTTCATAATAAACTAACTGCCTAACCAAACAACAGATGCCACTTATTCTCTAAATAAATACTATAGCATTTCATACCACTACCTCCAATCGCACTGAAAGTCTTTTATTTGTTTATGGTATCCCTGGTTCAAATGGCAGAACCTCCAGATCCCATTTAAAATGCTGAAGAGGTCACTTGGAATTGTTGACTGCACACGGCTCAAACCATAAAAGGGACTTTGTAATGAAATAAATATTTACTAATCAGATTATCTACCCAGAGCAACAATCTTTGTTGGTAGGCTGCCATTTATTACGCTTTCAATCAACCCTGTGGCTTCTAATAAGCTGTGTTTTCATGTTTCCCTTAATATAGAACTGCTTGTCATTCAGGGCTGGACAAGGCTCTGTTGTGTTCTGGGAGAACTGCAGTGCCCAGGGCCAGGCGAAGGCCGACGGAGCCACTCAGCTCCTTCTTCTCCCAGACTCTCTCTTCCAGCAGCTCCACAACGGGCTTTGGCAGGACCTCCAGCGTGCCTTGGCAGAGCTCAGGGTTGGTACAAAAACCCATCCCCAAAATAACATTAGGCCATTTTAGAGATGCAAAGGGGGAAAAAAAAAATGGCTGCTGTGGAGAGCATCCTTTCACCTGTGCAAGGATGAAAGTGTTATTATCCACAGATGAAAGCCTTATTATCCACACAAGGCAGGGACGGGCTGCTAATTAGGAAAATGAGTTAGAAAAAAGCTTCATGAGGTGCATGGGTAACGATTCAGGTGCTCCTAAGTATAAAATATGCTGAGAAAAATGAATCCTTGCAGACTTTGAGGAGAGGGAGTATCAAAAACACACAGTTGCGCTGACAAAACATACACATGCTTTGCCAGTACAATTAAGATTTCTGCACTCAGGAAACAGGGAATGGGATAAATAATTACACATCCTTACAATTATTGCTGTAAGAAAATATCTCATACTTTGTATTAGTTCCACTTCCACAGTAAAAGCATCCATCCATGACATGACTACTGGCTGGAGCTGGAAGATGTAAATCAGGCCTCCTGAAAATTTCTAAAGTCACAGGCCTGCTAGAAAAATACTTGCTACCAAAATAAAGCGCTCCCTACCCAGAGAACTTGGCAATTTTATACATCCATGATTAGTAGCGTCACAGAAACTTCCTGCATTTCTAAATCCTCAGTCTGTGTATTTGAATCCTGCCTTGTAAGCCAGCCACAGACAGATGCAGCAAGGCAGGCAGAAGGCTACAGCCATGTCCTTAACTCACCGCCACGTGTGTCAAAAATCCTACAAGCTCATCAGCGGTTAATCCATCCTATCGAAAGTGCCACGGTACTCTGACAAAATTAGAAATACAAGTTTGTTATTTTAATGAGTCACTGACATCTGCTGCTTATTCTTAGTTTTCAGTCGCACTCCCCTGCTCTGACATCATGGCACATGTGATTTTATTCGGATACCGCTCTCAGACTGGCTCAGTCCTTTGGATTACTTTGACAGCATTTCTCCTCATTCATTATTTAACAGTAACTTGTGCTTACTGAGCACATTTCAACACAACTAACTAAACTAATAGCATATCCTAATCCTTAATGAAGCCCAAATGCTTCTCCTGGGGGCAGGTAAGTATCATCATAATTTTCTGGATGGGAAAGCAGATATTAAGTGATTTGGCAAGGTCATGTGGCCTGTTCGTGCCACAGGTTGGGAATTAAGTGCTCTCAGGAGCTCTGACTATCTGTCCCCAGGTGTAACAACCTCAACCAGCTCAGGCCACTCCAGACCCAGAGCAAGTGCACAAAGGTGGAGGTTCTGCAGCAGGGTCACCTCATCACCAGAAGGCTGTGAGCTTCCACACTTGGCCAGGGACAACCTTCATTATCAGATCGTTCTGAAACAAAGCAGTCAATGCCCTACTCAGGAGCTCAAAGGTTGAGATATTAACAGATTTTTGTTTAATTTCTTCATTTCTCAGTCTCTTTTCAACCGCATGTTTTTAACAATGATGTTATTTAACACATGCCAGTATGAATAAGTTTATTCTTTATTCTGAGCTGCTCCTATAAAAGGAGCTTGTGTTACACAGACTGCCTATAATTCATTAAGCCAAATTCCCTTCCATCTGGAGGCTTATACAGTTGTTGAAAAGCTGTCACTATAACCTATTGTCACTGCAACTTTTTATGAACCAACCTACATTTTTATGTCAAAATTTATCTCAACAACTTTGCTGTACTTACTTTCAATTATTTCTATATCATCAGCCTTTAGGTAATGCTGCATTCAAGATGCTGGGATTAACTTCTCTCTCTGGCTGTGTTCACACTGAAAATAAATGCAGTTTTGGATTTCAACAAGACCTACACAGAAGCAGACAGAGCTTCCATCCCAGTGGATGCACAAACCAATGACAATTACTGATTTCACCCAGTCCCAAAGGAAACAATCACAAATAAATGCAAACACCTATGTCAGAAAGAGAGGATTTCTATAAAAATGGAATTTTTCTTAATGAGAGGAAAATGAAATTAGGCTATTCTTGTTTCATTTTACAAGAAAAGATCACATAAGCATGAAAATTCCTCATGTTGATTTCTTGAAGAGCTGTCTCTGTATGTTTGTTCTTTAGCACATTTTTAAGATGACTGGTGAAGATACATCCAGACAGATGAGGGGTTACAGTAAGTCCTATGCGATGGACAACTCTAGGCTGTGGCTGCCCCATCCCTGAAGTGCTCAAGGCCAGGATGGATGGGGCTTGGAGCAACCTGGTCCAGTGGAAGCTGTCCCTGCCCATGGCAGGGGAGTTGGAACTGTGTGATCCTTTAATGACCCTTCCAACCCAAACCCTTCCATGGTTCTACAGTTATGTAATATTCCAGAGGGCAGATACACAGAACAATGCACAGAGGTAACAAGGCCAAAGACCAACAGGAGCTGCTTCATGTATCTCAAGCTACAGCTTATAGAAAGACCAGTTTTCCTCCTGTCATCACATGCTGCCAGACCCACCTGAGACCTAAGAGGAGATTAATAATTCAGTATGCAAGGGATCAAAACATCCTCCAGTTCTGGCCAACTTGGGAAAGACTACTGACTGAAATTCCAGCAGCTAGGTCATGGCCCTAATCCTAAAACTCTGTAATAAAGTCCTTCACTCCAAGTTTTCTGACCTTTCATAATGGCTTTAAAACAGACCATGGCATTGCCTGTACTAGAGGCTTGTACTGGCATAAGCTGTACTGATATGACCAGGACTAATCCTCCTGTAGCAAAGAGAAAGCCAGAATGTTCACATAAAAATTAGAAACAACACATAAACAAGAGCTGATGGGTAGCAAAACAGGTTTTGGCATGCTTCTCCATCACTGGATCAGCCAAGGGTGTATCTGTGTTTGTAATGTGGCTTCATCCCAATATCACTATGTTTACTAATAAAATAAAAATCACAACCTGAACTGGCATGGGAATCTTGAATAAATCCTTCAATTAAAATACAATATCAAAATGGGGTGCAGCATCAGCCTTTTTCAAAAGCTCAGTGTTGTCCAACTAAAATAGTTTAACAGGCAGGACTGGAAAAGGAAGTGTCAGTTTTGGAAACTACAAAGATCAACACGTCTCCAATATGGTATATCTGGCAAACTGCTGTGCAGTAAAATTAAGCATGACACATAACTGTTGAAGCAGTCTCGGGCCAAAACTCTGATTCTTACTCATCTTGCACTAAAACAAAACTCTGTAATTGAAATGACGACAAGAAGCTGAGCTGCCTGGGAACAGTAGGGCTTGGCTCGTGCAATATATATATGTATGTTCTGTTGGTAGCTCGGCTGCAGACCACACAAGTAATTTGAGGTTTTATTTCTTTGGTAGAAGTATGCATGTTTGGGTGGAGAACAGAAGCAGATGGAACCAAAGCAATCGCTGTCAGGTCGTATGTTCCTAAGAGTATCTGTCTGGATACAGACACAGACACCCTCCCCACATACTGCACTTCTTCTGGTAGCACCTACTACCCTACGAGCTCAGGATCAAGGCAGTAGTACATGAAATCCTACACCAGCCAACAGCAGCAGGATGGCTTTGTGTCTCTGTATCTCAAAGGGAAGAACAGGATGTCCAAATTCTCTTGACCAGCCTTGGAATAGGCTACAAAAAACAAGCAAAAACGTAGTCGCTCAAATCCTGTTCAATTAAGTTACACTAAAACTGTGTGGACTCATTTTATCAGAAATGGAAACAGAAATTCCTTAAATCTATGGATTAGGGGTATCAGCTTCTCCTGCTTGCCACGGTATTGGTTATGTGTTCAAAGGCCTTTCACCTTGTGCTGGCTTGGGTTTAATCGCTGTGGTTTTAGATCCACTTTGAATGCTGGACCTACACTGGTCATTTCAAGGACTGACTGAGCTACAGAATAAACAAGTGGGACTGTAATTGTGTCCATAGAGGTACCAGGAGTGTGCACACACACCCGCCTTGACCTCACAATACTTCCCCCACTGGGCAAGCTCTCCTGGATGTATTCTGGATCTTGGCAGCAGACATGCCATGAGTCTGCTTGGTTGCTGCACTAAAAGGACTATGAATAGGGAAGAGAAAAATATTGACATTATCTCAAAAGTGCTTCTCCTTGTTTCTGTTTTTGGGACAGTGCTGCCCTCAGTTAGAGTTCTAAAGGTGTTACACTTTACCTTTTGCTGTGTAGTAATCTAAAAGAGAGCACGTTCAAAGTGGTACAAGTGTGTTTTTTTCCTTCTGTGCTCATCCAGAGAAATCTCTATGCAGGACACCCTGAGCAATTTTCTTACCTTCTTAACATGCTATAGTTCACATGCTGTGAACTCCTTTCAGGTCCATTTTTCATAACTCTGACTAACAACAAAACTGACAGGATGTCAACAGGAAGAAGAGAAACAAACAGATTAGATAATCTATTTAATATCCTCCTGGTGAGCTCACCAGGTCTAAATAGCAGTGTTTTTTAGCTGGTATAACCTCGCTCTAAATGCTGCCAACTGTTTTCCATTGGAAATAAGTTCATGGTCCAGTCTGTCACCATGGAAGTTGGATCTTGCAGGGAGCACATGGCAAGAAAGCTGACAGGAGAGAGATAACAGCGTGAGGTTGTATAATTGCTCCCTGCTAATGAGGGGGGGGGGTAATAAACAAAAAATGAGGTTTTTCTTTATAGGGAAAGGCCATGACATGTCATTGAACACACCAACAGAAAAGTGGAGTTCTGAAAAGGCTTCCTTAGACAGTGATGGAGACTGAAACTCCTGTCACAGTGCTTCCAGTAACATGATTCCATGCAATGCCAAGGGTTTAGATTCAAGGAGTAAATATCCTTTCCAGGTCATCTTATAGGGGGGAAAAAATCCTGTCTTTCAGAACAATTTAGACCAGTTTCCATGTAAATAAATGGAGGTCCATGACCACGGGAGCAACTCCTTTTAGATGGTTTAATACTCTTTAAATGCCAGAGGAAGCCCAACTTGGATGTAATGTGACTGCAGGCTGGCAAAATAAGCATATTTAGCTTTTTCCAGCCAGCTCATCTCACCATAGATTTTTTGCATAGTTTAAAATAAAAAGACATTACAAAAATCTTCTTTTAATTAGAGTAACTGATGTTCTGTGACCACAAAACCCACAGGTTTCAAAAGAACATGCAGACCTCTTTGGACATATAAGGCAAAAAAAATCCAGCATGTGCTCTCTAGGAAAGGTCCTTTCTGGCAATTTAACTTCAAAAAAGCAAGATCAAGACCTTAAAGGAGCACAGGGAAGCCACCACCCACAGCCTTCTCAGTGGAACAGCCTTATCTACAAAAAGGTAAGATTATTCTGCAATGTCTGAAGAGGATAATCAAAGGAAATAAAGTATAAAGATTTTAAAAATTATTTTCTTTTGCTTTAATAATGAAAAGATCAGAAACAATGAGGATCTCTGAGGTGAACCTTGAAGGCCAGGAGCTGTAGTGGGACCTTCTGCTGCTACCACAAGAGAATCCTGCTCATCTGACAGTTCAGACAATCTGTAGGAAACAGAAGGTCCATTAGGAAATGGATATCTGTCTTTGACACCCTTTATGTGTCTTCTACAACTGCCAAACAGAGCTGCACTCCTTGCAGGGACACTGGATCTTGGGAGGGGAAACAACTGGTGGAACAAAGGAGATGATTTAAAGTAACACTGGTTTCTTGTAGTTATGGATGTTCTATGGAAATGACAATCAGAGATTTTTTTTTATCCCTTGCAGCCTGTCCTCAGTGTCTGCTGAAGGGTGAAGAAATTCAGGGTCCTCTGGGGGTTTATTAACATCTTTGACCTCTGGTGAGACCAAGGTCTCTAGAAATGTGCAGCTCAGCCTCTGCCCCAACAACCCAAATCGAATCTTGTCTTTTGGCTAAGACTGTGGGATAGGCTCCAATGAAACTCTTTTGTCTTCACCAGCATCCCCAGCCTTTTGCTGCCCTGAGTTGATACTTCTATTCCCACTGTGATTAGGCAGCTGCCATCAACCAAAGAGATCAAGAGGTACTGACTGTAGAAGAGCCCAGAAGGCAAAACCCTTTGCTTGAAACTCTCTCATAATGAGGCATAACCCCACTTCTTTCACATGGAAGGGAAAATGCTGTGAGATTGAATCAGGAGACAAGATGAAGTGAATTCAGGAGGCTGGCAACAGCCAGCTTTGTGTTCCACACAGCTCAGAGATGGTTCCTTGTGATGTGCCTCCACTGATGGCTGCTGCAGGAAGGCAGAGCAGGGGGAGCTCGTATTTTCCTGTAAATACTCAAAGAGCCCAGAATGAATGAGCTTGAAGAATGGAACAATTATTTCTCCAACTGGTTCCGAGAGGGAAAGCTGCCTAGCAGAAACTTGACTGAAATGGAAGCATACCCAGCATTTTCAGAGGACAGTGTTTGATAAACATTAATGATTAAGATTATTTTTTATAGCTAATGAGGAGTTTATAAAAATAAATGCCTTACATGTAGGCTTAGGAGCTAACCACTCTCCTTCCCAGCCAGAAAGGAAACAGCTCAGACCTTTCCATCTTCGGGGCCTATCCCAAACCCCATCAATTTGTCAGGTGGTTTCTAGGGGCATCTGAAGCATGGAGAAACTTGGTTCATTACTGTTGCTGAACAGCTCTCCTCCCTTCTCCTCTTTGGATAGAATTTGTCATTATTTTTGCTATATTGCTTTTTTTTTGCTACAGATTTTGCTTGTGATGCCTGCTGGCATGATTCAAACATTGAAGACATTTTTTAAAATGCTGAAAGGAAACTAATAATCATAAATAAATAATTCTTTAATTTCTCTGAGGAGTTGTCCACCAAAAGGAGAGAAATTGCTGAAGTAGTTCAAATGTACAAAATAAGACAGGAGGAAGAAAAATGCATTCCAGAATGTCCCTCCAGGCTTTCTTTCAATGACCCATTGCAATAAAACCAGAGAAAATAAAAGAGGGAAAAATCTGATTTTTCATTTATACTGTGAAGGTGATCTACCCAAGTTCAAATTTAGGCTTGTTGTATATGATAGAAAGCAAACAGAACCCCAAGATGCCTTTTGGCTTATGCCTTTACAGACTGTGTTTGCAGCCAAGGCACCAAGAGGACAAAGCCACTGTGGATTTGAGGGGAAAATAAAGCAACTCAAATACAGAGATGCTGCTTTGAAAGTCCTCTGATGTAAAGGTGATAAAGAACATGTATTACTTTTCCTTCACTTGATATAGTTAGTCAGTACATTTTTCTTGTTTCCTACAACTATCACTTTAAAGCTAGCAAAAAAAAATTAGAAGTCAGAAGCAAAAATAGTCTTTTGCTAGAAGACTTCTACTATTGCCCATCATGCAGAGGGGCATCTGTTCACCTCCCTGCCTCGGGATGAGCAAGGATGGGACATGGGTTAAGCTGAGAAGACATCAAGGAGTCAGAGACATGAAACAAAAACATACTTATCTGACACCTGGAAGCTCTTATAATTTTTTTTAATAGTGCATCAAGATTTTGGTTATCAAATCTTAAATTCTATGTAATGTAGACTTTATGGCACTCAGCTTTCAGTAATAAGGCTTTTTTTTTTTTTTTACTTGTAAAACAATTAGTGTTATCCTTGAGCTATACTATCAACCAATATGTCTCATTCCACTTTAATTCTTCCATGTCAATCCCCTGTTTTTTACCCAACTGACATCACAGACAAAAACATGAAGTTGAAAGGCTAAGACCTTAGGACTGACACACAATACAAGCAAAACAGCACCGTAACAGATGCACAGAGGCTGAACTAAAATGAGAATTTAATGGAATTTTTTTTTTAATTACAATAAATTCTTCTACACTGGACTAAGGTTATACAAGATGACCACAAGAAATTGAGCTACTGTAAAACAACAAGTAACAACCAAGCAGCAGTAACATATCATTGTTTTCTCTTAGTGTGCCCCTCTGGAGAAGCAAAAGGAGCTTGAGCCACATGTGTACAATTGAAACTTAAGCTAACTTGTTTGTCTTTAGAAGTGAGGCAGGTTAAAAAGTGGCTTTAAATACCCAAGAGAGCTGAACCAGCCTCAGCAGAAAGCCAGTGAATCACTGAATTAGGAAGCTCTGCTATTGCCTCATTATTAAAAAAAAACCCCTTTATTTAAAAAGGTTTTCTTACCTGCGGTCTTTATATATGCAAGCTCTTAGAGGGCTCTTCATTTTTTATTTATACTTGTGCCCGTGGCTTCAAAAACTGTGAAGAATTACTGCAGTAACAAAGGATTTTCTTGTCACCTGAAGGGAATGGACTATTGTCTTCCCTTTGGAGAATGATGGCTTACAAAAATAAGGCCAAAGTGAACAAAGCAAATAAGCCAAATAATTAATATGTGCCTTCCCTGATTCAGGAGCTGCTTTCTCATTTTGCTCAAGTCCTCCCAGCCTCACGTTGTTCTGATGACTTTGTCCATCTACTCAGGGCCCAGATCTCACTACTGAATTTCAAAAAGGATAGCAAAGACACTTTGCAGAACACATTTAATTCTGCATGTCTCTCACTGAAATGGCTGTTACGGTTTGTGTTGAACAATTTTTCATTCCTTTACTGGACAACAAAGACTGAAGAAATTCCAAACTAAGACAAATTTTATACCCTGCTTAAGAAACCTAAAGTAGTTTCTCAAAAAAAAAATTCATGAAGACACTCAATCTCGTCCTAAATGTGCACTCTTTAAAATACATACAGTGCTCTCTCTTCTTACTGGCATGAACAACTTCTATAAAAATGTAAATTAATATTTCAAGCTTCCAGAAGGTTTGTCAAAATAAACAATGAAGTTGTTTACTATAAATTTGCAGGAGTTATCTGCAGCTTACATTATGTTCATTCAATGTTTATAAAATCATACTATTTAAAAATTATTATACTTAATTGCTACATCTTATAACCACTGTAATCAAATTAACTCCAGATTTATTCTTCAAGTGCCACCGAGCTATTTTAAGTATTCTAAGTAGGTATAATAAAACAAACCATGTATGAGGACACTGATCAAGCAGTAGGATATTCTGGGTAAGAACAATAACAATCAAGAAAGAAAGTAAGACAGGTGAAGCAGACAATAGCAGCCAACTCACTTTTTGCATTGCCTGAAAAGGGAATCATCCAAATCTGATGGTATAAAAAAGAACATTTGTGCCATTGTTGAATTCTGAAGCTTACAGAATTCATGTAAAAGAATTCTTTGTACCCTGAAGTTGGAAGGAAAACGTTCCCATTCACAGAATTACGTGATTTGCTGAATTACAGAGTTTTGCCCAGCATAATCTCAGTTTTCATTCGCTACAGTGCATTATAGTGTTTCTACTGTGAAAACATTCTTCAGGAACCCTTCTAAAGATCATACAACCTTTCCATAAATGCACCTCTATTAAGGCTATGAACAGGTGTAGTCAAGGTACAGAGTCATTCTTCCTACCCTGCCACAGCAACTCAGACTTTCAGGGGTCTCTCTGTGCTTACCCAAACACATGGGACAAAATTCTGACTTCTACCAAGTCACTGAGTCCAGCTGGGTTGGGATTGCACTTTTGCAGGTAAGGGCCTGGCTCTGTCTTAGCCTGAACAAACTGCATGAAAACAACCATGTATACACAAACCCTTACAGAGTCTTCAACCCATCCTAAACCATCCCAAGAGTTCACCAGTCTTACACACCACAACTCTCTGCACAGCTCCCAGCAGAGCAGTCAGCAGTGGCTCATATTTGGTACAGGCAGGTGGCACAGCTCAAGTAAAAGATGTGTGTGCACTGGTACATCCTCATTTACTCCAAGTGTGGGGGCTGGTTTGGGGAGTTTATTTGGTTTGCTATGTTCTTCCCCTTGCTCTTGGATTTCTTGTGATTATATTTGTTGCTATGTTTGTTTACACTAGAAAATGCAAGCAGAAGAAATGCAACTTGCACTGCAGGCAGGATACAAATGACCTGATGTGTATTTCTAAGGGGGTATCACCTCTCAGCTCTGCTAGCAAACCCAGCCTTACTGATGAAATAAAAGTAATATCCTTCAGAGCTGCCTCCAGCTTTTAACTCTGCCCACCCAGATGCCTGGAGGTTCTGAGAAGACTCCCAGGTGAACGAAGACTACAAATGTGTATTCAAACCTCACTCCACAGCACTGAATCCACACATGATGACCTTTAACTTTTTGGGTAGTGCTGAAGTGAAGGTGTATTATTGCTAAATAAATATGCAAGGCAAAAGTTCTCTATGCCTTTGCAGTAAACACCCTCTGCCCAATGCTGCTCCTGCAAACACAGGATATCTTCTCCATCTCCTTGTTTGCTTTGCATTATACAAATAAGCATATACCCTTCCCAGAGGTTCACCAGATGCTATCTTACCTATGCAAGTGCTTTAGCAAAAAGGACAGGAAAATTCCAGCAGAGCCATGCTTATCAGTGGGAGTCTGGCAGAAACCTAAAGCTTGAGGGGCATTTTTTTTCAAACATTTATGTGTACACTGCATTTTTCCAAAACAAAACACGTTAGAGGATGTAACAACAGAAAGGTGTTTGTTTAAGTGCTGCTCCTTCTGCAAGCAAAACCACAAATATTCACAGAAAAAGGAAAACATCTGGAGTGAACCTTTATCAGACTTCTCCATCCTGCAACTGATGGAAATGTGCAAATGTATTTTTAAATACAACTATTTTGAATTATTCTTATTTGCTAGGGAATTAGCATTGTGTTAGCACCTCCTCATGCAATACTGGGGTCAATCAGATTGGGTTTGTGGAGTCACATAAAACCTTTAAGTGGGGATCTTTTTCCACCAGCCTAAGACAGAACACAAGTGCCAAAGACCACAGGTTCTCCTTAGCCTTAATGCCAGGTTTCTTACTATAACATGAGATTACAGAGGATCCCAAATGCAATTTTTGAATGAACAGTTTGTAGTATGTATTTTTTCACACCTGGCCTTAAAATAAGTGCTTGTCTCTTGGTTACCGTGGTGCTTTCTGTAGATTACTTCATACAAGGCATCCTTAATTACAAGTCACACTCTGCAGCAGAATCCAGAAATCATGTCTACAATAAGCAAATAAATCAACAAGGGCATCTTATCAGAAAAGAATCACACAGCCCTCCTGTACAACACAGTGGTTTTGTGGAGATTATCATAAGAACGTTTTTAAGATGGGTGTACCTTTGGAAAGCACCTGGTGATGAGAAAGAACTTTAGGATCCTGTTAACACTGAATTATTGAGAAGGGGGTGATGAACCGGATATACTATTAGAATTATAAAATGTCTTTTCTTTGAGCAAGGAAAATAAAGCCTCCAATTTAAACCTCAAAAAAACCCAGCCCCAAACCCAAGAAAAAAAGCCCAAGAAATAATGACCAAACCTCCCCTAAAATATCCATATATAAGCACTTTGTGTTTCTACAACAATTAGAAAACATTAATAGGTGTAAAACTGTACTTCTTACAGGGCATCAACCACCAGTGTTTGCAGTGCTAAGGATTATGCAAGTTCTTCCTCAGATGCATATTTGCAAACACTTTCATTTGGATACAGACTTTCCATATTACAACTGCTTGATTACATTTACACAAATGCTAAGATGTTTTATGCATGTTTTTATTTGATGCCATAAACAATTTTTAATATGAGGCATCTGAGCATAAAATATTGTGTTAACTGGGAAACTGAGACAAGGGACTAAAGACAAGGAACTAAGACTGCACCGAGCCATAAGGAAAAAGGATAATTAAAATACTGAGTAAATAGTTGAGTTGAAATTAGGAAAATTTAGACTTCTTACTTTCAGAGATGCACGCTTAACTCTTGGGAACAGGAGTGGGGTTTGATTGAGTTACCCCTGACAGAACCACATGGATAACTCTGAAAATAGCCAGATTAAAAAAAGGTGGAAAGTTTTCCACTGAAAGAACAAAAGCAATCCCAGCCCTGCTGATGAGACACCCTCCAAACCATATCCAGGAGTGGAAGAAGCTTGTGAAGCAAACCTGAGGGAGAGGAAGGGCATGGCTAGGTCTGAATTCAAGCAACACCTTGACAAGTGATTCTCTGAACTGGGGCAGGGAACAGCAGCTGCCTCATCAAAGCTTTCCTTGCTGGGCTCCTTCCAAGCACATCTTCTGCAGCAAGAAACTCTCCAAACAGAAGACCCGGTGGTGCTACCAGGAATCAGCAAGTCCAGCACTTCTGCACCTCCTTAGGAACACTTAGGCTTCAGCATCACTGGTGAGAAGGCACTTACCAAAGTACTTCTGCTTAGTTTGGCTTTTCTTTGCTTCCTCTTTCCCCTCCCTGGCCCCCATTTTCAACAGCTTTTTAAGCTCCAATAAACCATCTACTTTTAATTTCTTTTTCACTGCTTTTATAATGGCATACTGAAATATCTTTGCAATTTAACAGAGTAGCAGCTTCTGTTATTCTCTGTCAAATCCCAGGTTGCACAGACTATTACTTCTCAAGAGAGAGGAAGAGCAGGACCTATTGAAAAATAAGATTATTAGTATTAGCACATTGACTATCTCAAAGGCTCCTTTTGGTGCTTCCCTTGAAAAAGTTCCTTCAGTCTCTGTAAGTTAGCTTACCTCTACATGTTTATAAACTGATTAAAAAAGAGAAGTTCTGCAATGAAATTTAATCTTGGTTAAACTAAAGTTGATTAAGAAAATATTGACCCAAAGGAAAAAACAAAGTAAAATTCCATTGTCATTCTTAACTAAATTAATAACTGTGAGTTATTCTGAGGTGGCATTAACTGCTGATTTTGGAAATAAGATACTTCGATCTAATAAAAGTTAATTTGGACTCTGCTTAAGGTATAATCTCTACTAGAGAATTTTTTAATAAAGAGATGTGAAGTGTCTCCAATGAAGAAATGGGAATGCAACAAACTTCTGATCTTCCAGTTGAAAATCCTTTTCCTTCTTTTTTTAATAATAAAAAGCTATGCTTCAACCTGTCATGAATCTGCTATGCTTCAGCCAGTGAGTAACCAGAAGGAAAAACAGAAATGTGAGTGATAAATAGTATGAATTACATGGTTTAATTATAACCAGTAGGGATAATTACTAACATTTAGTCAACCACATCTCCTATCTTGGGACCATGAATGTCCAGAGCAGTGTTTTCAGGTGCTCAGTCATGGGGAGCTCAGGAGCAGAGAAGCTCCTACTGTCTCACACCACCTTCCTTGCAGAGGGGACATTAAATGGAACCTCAGATCCAAACACAGTTTCCCAGAGAAAATTCAGTTTAGACATTGGCTCTTCCATGCTCACTCATGACGAGGAGTAACTCCCTCCCTTGAGCACTCCAGATTTTCAGAGTGATAGATTCCACTGATTCAAGATGCAAGGTAGCTGTAAGGGACACCCCTTGGTGCAAGCAGTGGAGTTGATATGTCCTGCTAAAATGCATATTTTTACAGATACAGGGCCCTGTGTTGTCTTCTTGGGCTGTAGAGACATGGAAGGACTGAATATTAAATCAATAGGCAGCAATGTTTATGTTAAGGGATGTTAAGGGATGCAGCTGGCAAGCTGAATTAAAAGAAAAGTAGAGGCTATCAAGTTTATTAATATTCAGGCTATGGAAATGTTTTTGTAAGCCAATCTCCTGACACACCTGCAAGGGTAGCTTTGATCTGATAGAAGTGGGTGGTTAAAGTGGAGAAGAAGCATATGACCTGGAATAAAAGTGAAATGGACTCTCCTGGAGTATGACCAAAGCTTTAAATGATTGTTTTAATTGATATGGATGAGCAGCAGTAAACCTTCACAAATTTAAAAACAATATTTTATTAATAACACGAACAAAAACGTAAAAGTTCAGTTGCTAGCAGCTATCCAGAATTACATGAGTAGCAGCAAAATAATTAAAACTACTTGTGTTTCAAAAATAATAAATACGTGTCATGACCCTAAGCAGCAAAGCAACATGAAAATCCATTTGGTATGTAATTTCACTCAAACGATAACAAGTCACATACCTCAAAAAAAGAAAAGGAATGAAAAAAAAAAAAGAAGAAATTATTTACTACATAAATTACAAAAGGAAAATCAAAGAATGCAAAAAACTCAGTTGTGTCTCTACTCATTATTTTGCTTTAATTTCATCTAACTTTGTGAAAAGCCCCATGGGCTAGGGACATTAATTTCTTGCTTTTGCTGTTTTACTAATTCCTAATGGAGAATTACAAAAGTATTTCAATCATGGCAAGAATTGGAATCATGGGAGGGAATGGGAGAGAAAACTGAAGAAAACTGCAGGATATTGAGAAAGCTAAAATTAAATTAGTATATTCTAAATGCCATTCAAAAAAAGAGGAAAAATGCCCATGTCACATACACAATCTGAGCTGATTTCAACACCAGTGACACAGAAAGAAAATAATCTAGAGGAATTTAAAAGCAACAAATCTCTTGGACCAGATGGAAGTTATCCCTGGGTATTAGAGAAGATCAAGGAAGGAACTTTTGGGCTACTGGCAGACATCATGGAAAGGCTGATAAGTTCCAGATGGAATACAAAAATCAGTAAATATGGCTCCAGATTACAAAGTGATATGGAATAACATTTTAGTGTGAAATTAGCAATAAATACAGTTTGTAACACAGCACCATATCACAATTTTGACATAATTTGACAAGTCGCAATATAAGACACAGTGTCAGAAGCTATCAGAGCAAAACAAAACACATCTCCCAGGTGGTTTGCTGGGAGAAAAGCAGTTATTTCACTCCAAGTTTTCACACAGCACTTCCCAATTTCCTCCTGCCTAGGCTGGCAGTGTATTAAAGTATTACTGCTTTCAGTATGGCCTGGGGTCCAAATGTGATCCCAGCCGTGCTGGGCAGTGGCACAGCACTGCAGGAGGCCACCCAAATCCAGTGACCTTATGTCCTAAATGGGTGAGATGGACAACTCCCAGGAGGAGGTGTCAATGCCAGAAGTCAGGCAAATTTTTCAAGGTTACAGAGCTGGTTTGAGGAAAAGAACTCTTATTTTCTCAGTCTGGATGACTGTACCCAAGTGTCACTGCCTATGTGAGCATTCAGTGACAGTCCTTCACTTCCTCCTCTTTCAGAACTATAATCATATCTCACTCTGGCATTCAACTTCTACTTCTGAATCAGAACACTCAGAAGAAAGATGGTATATGGAATAATATTCCATCTTTTTAGTTTTTCCCTTGCAAAAGAACTCCCAGAAATCTGCCTTCTTTTTCTCCTGCTGACTTCCCCATCTCTCCCTCTGCTCATCATCTGCCATGGTCCCTGGTAGCATGACAATGTCCTCCTTCCATCAAGGACAAACTCTCAAACAACACAGTGTCCATCATTCTTGGGGGAACATTTGATTAATTCAATGAAGTCTGTAACAAAATTTATGTGATGTTCAGCTGAGGGACATATATGTAAAACGGTAGCAAGCACATGGGTAAATAAATTATCAAGAAATGCAGCAATTTAATCAACTCCAGTATTTGAAAGTGGGAAACTTTGACTTGGATTTCATTCCCTAGAGCGTGAAAGAAGTGTCCCAGGCATGCTGTTCCCAACGTTCCCTCTCTGGTCAGTGATAAGATGGGGCAGACATTTGCTGGGCACCCTCCTCTGATTATATGGGGATCATCCTAATTTGGCACCTTGTTTAAGTGTCTAATTAAATGGGATGCACCCAAGTCTCTAGAAGCATACTGTGAAATTCACACCATAGTATGATATGAATCACAGAGAAAAGCATAAAAAATAGACTTGAAGCAATTATTTACTGCCATGATAACCATGGGGTGCAGATGTTCATCCCAACCCTCTACCCCTAGGTTGTGATCAATGTCATGTCTATAAAAAAAAAAAGTAAAAAAATAAGGACTTCAGTGCTTGGCAGCAGAAAGAGGGACAATGAAGAAGAATCATAAAGTTTTTATGAAACAAAGTTTGACAGAAATATAAAGCAATGCATTGCAGTCTCTGAAGTAGGAAACACATGTCAAAAATAAATGGAATTGAACTTGACCACAAGAAGGACTTTGAAAGCACCCTGGAGTAATAGCAGAATTCACTCTTGCAAACACCATGGCAGTGTTAGGAAGAGTCAAACAGCAGAGCAACCGGGAGGCAGAGGGCTGGGGCACCAATGTCAGATGCAAAATAAAAGCCAAAAAAAAGCAATCCATCACAAAAAAGCATACTCAGAACAATATTACGGACTGCAGTTAATATGCAAGAAGAAATCCAGAGTTAAGGCTTATAGTCCTGCTCTCAAATCAGCTGGAATCATCCATTTTCCAAGTTTCTAATTTTGGGACAGAAGAAGGTAAGATATGAGCCCTAATTAAGTGAATTCACAGTAACACTGATGGACACCTTATCTCTATGACCTAGCAGGTTCTCTCTATCTCTTCTAATGGAAGAAGTTGTATCATAAAACTCCACACTATCAAGACTGGACCTTCTGATCAATCATCATCCTCTCCTGGATCTGCCAAATCCTAGCCTTGTTTTCAGTCTGAAACCTTTCTCTTTCCCCTCCTAAAAATGTTTTAACTGATCTTAAGGTACAAGAGAGAACAAAGCTGCTTTCAGGATTAAAGAACAGAATCTATGAAAATCACTCCAAGAAGCTTAATTCATGTAGCTGAGGAAATAAATGAAAGATATAATAAATCTGCTTAATTAAAAAAGTCTTAAGTCCCAATCCTGAACCATTTGAAGACACTAGAAAACATATAAGGAATATATAGGGATCAATCAACCTAATAATAAACAGAACTGTGATCTGCATAAAAATGTCTTTTTCAGTGGTTACAAAGTAAAGAAATTGTGCCTGACTGAAAGGAAAATGCAGAAGTTAGGTTGTACCAACCCCCTCTTCTCTCTTTCCACAGGAAATGTAGGGAACTTGTTCTTGCTCAACTGCAACAAGAAACGCTTGATGGAAAAAAAAAAAAAAAGCCAACAAACCCTCCACAGTTATGAGGGGCTTCTGAAAAAGTGAAATGTCCATGTGGAAAGAACAGTTACAGCTTCAAGATCTACCACAGCTACTTAAAGGCTTTTTAGCTGCATTGGTAAAAACAAAATCACAAGCAGCCATCCTTAAAATGTTTTAAGTTTGTGACTCCATTAGAAACACTGAAGTACTGCATCAGGACTAATGTATTACATACTGGTAAAGTGTTCTGTGCCTCATGTCAGTGCATCATAAATTTTACTTAGTTACAGGAGTCATTCTAATCTTGGTTATGCTATGCAATATAAACTTTGCCTTTTCACAATGTGATGTTTATTTTCTGGGTATACAGACATATTTTCCATGCATTAAGCTTTAAGATATTCTTCACACTTCTCAATTAATGTATTTTATTAATTGCAGCTTTCTTGGGAGCCTGTAAATCTAGCAGCTGAGCACGCTTATTTATTTTCCTTCAATGACCTCTGTGTAAGATTTGCTTAGTTTTCTCTCTGTCAAGCACCTTGGGATCCATATTTCAAGCTGGATACTTTTTCTTCTTATCTCTAGTTATTATTATTTGTTTGTTTGTATTACAGCAGCATCTTACAATCCCAGCTGGGGCTAGACACACTAGGAATACATAAGAAACAGCACCTGCCTCAGGAGGGAGTCTCTAGCTCAAGAAAATTACAGGAAAATGAAGAGATGGGGAGAGGATGGCACAAAAGGAGATGCTCAGAGGTGCTGTGACTTGCTTCATGTGATACAAACATAAGAGCTGCATGGGCCCCATCCTATCCCATAACCACTGTGTGATGAACCTTGAACAGCATTAATAAATGTAATTAGTTTTAGACTTTTCTGAAGTACACGTGAGGATGAAACTCAGCTTGGCTGTTCTATAGCACTAAGTCCTGCAAATCAAGAGAAGAGGTACTATTAATCTGTACTCATGCATGAGAGAAATTATCACAGTGTCTTTACGTAACTGGTGATAAAAGTCCTTAATATTACCTATCCAGGTTACTGTGGTTTTTGTCTCTAAGAAAAATGTCTCAGACATGAGCCTTTACCACATTTCTCTCAGATCCGAGCTGGGGTTTCTGCAGTGTCTTCTTCAGCATCCACAGAACTGTCTCTAGAGAATATGTGTTTAAGGGAACAGAAGAACAAAAGGACTAAAGTGAAAACAAATAATAAAACAAATAAAAAAACAAAAATAATGTTGCATTGCCTAACCTTTTAGGTGACTATGGTTACTAAAAACAATAATTAAGAGATGCTAGGGCTGCACCACATATCCTGCAGTACCTTCCTGGAGGTGCCACAGCTTTCCAGGGTAGAGTGACAGTAAAACCACAGGGAATTCTCCTGCTCTCCATCTTCCCCTCACCTTCAGGGCATAGGGCAGCAAGGACCAGGCCAGTCACTGCACACTTTGAGTGACCTGCAGCACCACAAAATGCTCCCTGCTGGAGAGCAGTCGGCTCAGAGCCCTGGGGACACTGCACTGCAGTGGTGGCTGCAGCTCAGGTTGCTGTGCACACCACCAGCAACACCAACCAAGCATCACAGGGATGGTCCAACACATACTCTCTGTGGCTCCTGTTTCTCCTTCCCAGCAAACAGGACGTTTAATACAAGGTCTTGGCCTCTGTCTGAGCTGTTCCAGAGCCCTGTCCCTGAAAACTTGAAAGACTGAGCCAAGTTGTTCAATGAGGATGGCAGTCAACTGCTCAGCTCATCAGGTGAAGGCAACAGCCAGGCAGATGCAAAAGGGACTCCTGCCCCTCTCCAGGGCAGTAAAGAGTATCCCTATTCACCCCACAGCAAGCTCCTGGTGGAGGCTAAATTTCTTTGACCTTGTCATCACTAACAGAGATGACACCAAGGTAAACCAAACAAAGTAAACAAAGAAAGCCCACAGCACTGCAGAGTACATGCTCCCCAACACTGCACTGTCAGCTGTACAGGAGATAAAAGAGCAATTCACAGGTGAACTATGTGACATAGGACTTTGGATCTCTATTTTAAAACTATGTCCTCAAAGACATCAACAGCGAGATAAATTGTAACCACATGGGTTATGAATACATATTTAGCCTACCAGAAACAAATTTTATTTGATTAACCTTACAGTGTGTCTCAGTCTCCAGCACAGCTGCAGTTTCTTAAAAATGTTTTTAACAATCTGCTAGATTCCTTCAAACATGCTTTTGCAATTCATTTAGCATCAGGCAAGAGGAGAATTGTATTTTATACAAACTGTGATTTTTTTAATGGTATTTTTTTTCATAGAGAAGGCCAGAAGGGACCTTTTGAAATTACCCAACATGACCTCTTGCATAATAAAAGCCACAGAACTTCCCTGAATTGATTGTTGTTTGATCTAAAGTGTATCTTGTAAAGAAGCATCTAATCTTCATATAAAAATCAACAGTGATGGAGATTCAGTGCAAAAAATCTCTTTATATGTTGACCTCTTGGTCAATTTTCCTCACTGTTGAAAATTGAGACTTAATTTCTGAATTTATCTGCATTTGTTGAGGTTCAGTCTCTCAACACTTTGTTTGGCAGACATATTACTTTTGTTTCACAAGGATAACATGTGCATTGTTTATAACAAATAAGGCAGGCAGAAAAATGCATCTTCTCTCCAACAGCTATGACTAGATATGAATAAATTCCCAAGAGCTGACTCATTCCCAGACTTCAGTCAGGGCTGGTGCTAACAACTGCCTCACTGGTATTTCATGGCAAATGATCTGCTGTATCAAACTGAAGACGTGGTTCCACTGTGGTTATAGTGCCTCTAAATCTGCTAACTTGGTTCTGGCTGCAGTCTGGCCCTTACACATCAGGCTGATGGAGAAGGGAGGGAGGGATCTGCTGTCTCAGACCAGATGTGGACTCTGTTGCAGAGCACAGTGCACAGGAATAAGCCAGGATGCTTTTTACAACTCAGCTCAAGGACCCTGGCAGCAGCCACAGCTCAGCCAGACCCACACACAGAGAGGAAACCTTGCTCCCTGCTCATGGAACCTTCTGACTTCCCACTCCAGCTGCAGAAGCCCAGGGTCCTTCAGTCATAGGGTGCAAGACCTGACTGTCCTGGCCATGGAGATTTCTGTAGGCGTGAATACATCAATACTGAGTGGAACTGGTATGGCAAAGCTTGTTGGGAACACTTCCATCATCTTTGGAAAAATTCTTAATAGTCACCAAATTGGTACCTAAATAGCAATATCCAGCGCACCAATTAACAAGCTATAGTTAAGAACAGACCTTTGATCTTGGCCAAGTAACTCTTCTCTTCATTGCTCTAAAAAGGTTCAAAACTAAGCCTGCCTTTACCCACTGCAGTGATAACTGCTCTCCTCTGCTGAGTTCAGAGTAATCTTCCCTCTACTGCTTTTATGCAATACTTTTCTGCTGTTTCTTTTTTTCTATTTTTTTCTTTGTTGGAAATCTATTTTATTTTCCAGGATTAAAAGATGAACAGAAGGCTCTTATGCCTGACCTGACCAGTGTTCCAGTTTATTTCCCCAGAACCTACTGATGAATCACTAACACCTAAAACAAAGCCCAGCCTGGATCCTCTGTGCAGCCTTGGGCATTGGTGATTCATCAAGACCTGTACAAGATGCAGCATCACTTTGAAGTCAGGACTTTACAAACACAGAAAATGCTGTTTAAGTATTTTGCTTTAAAACACACTTGAGAAGTTCAAGGCTACACAAATATGCTGCTAACAATCTGAAGCATTAAAGTATTATTTAAAAAAATAAGTTATTTATTGAAGTGATTTCACTACACTGCTAAGGCACTGCCTGGCTAGTTTCAGCAAGGCTATTTCTCTTTGTGGATGTGCTGGTTTACAAATCACTCACTCATTCTGAATCCTGCTGGATACCAGAGGAATCCTATTTAAGCTTTTGGTAAGCAATTTGCTTGGTTTACTACATTTTCCAGTCATGCATCTATGCAAAAGCCGCTTTTGCTTCCCACTCAAATCCTGCTCTCTGCCACATCTGTGTTTATTGTGTGGCACAGGTGATGCCATGCCCAGGATCTGCCGATAACCACCACACATCTTGGCTGCCTCTCAAGGCTGACCTGCCAATCAGGTTGCCAAATTTTTTCATTCATTTCAGGCCACGTGAGCCCAACGCCCCAGCAGAAAAACACGGGGAGGAAGGCAGTGCCTGGCTGCAGCTCCTCCTCGGCGTGGACGGCAGTGTCACCCGGCTCTGGCTGGCTGCTCCGGCTGCGGCGCGCCCCACGAGAAGCCTCAGAAGTGCTCCACAGCCAAACTTCCACTTCACTACTTTAGTTTTCTCCTCATGCCGTGTGCTTCAGTGTTGACAGTTAACTCGCATTTAAAACAACCCTGTGCAACAGAGCTGTCAGCTGGAAATGTATCTGAGCCACACAGACCCTTTAAAATTCTACCCTGGCTGAAGGGACATCAGTCAGCCAGGAGAGACCCTTACCTCTGGGTTAGGAGTCCGAGGCAAATACACAGCATAACCTTTTTGTTTTTTGGAGTGTGGTTTGTTTTTTTTTTTATTCCAGCGTGACTATGCAGAAAAGCTTCAAAGCAAAGAAAATCAGGCAAACGAAAGGGAGAACACTGACTGTGTTCCTGGGAGAAGGCTCTGCCCTGAGCACACCACCTTCACCCAAATGCTGGTGACCAGCTCCAAGCCTGCTGATGGCATTTGAGGCAGCTGGGCCATCCTCAAGGGTCGCTATTTTACTGAATGTAAATTTTCAATCCTCTTAACATAGTCTATCCCTGCAGTCAGCCTTCAGCCAAAGTTCATATACTTAACCCTGAAGTAAGAAACTTGCAAAACATATGTCATTTAAGAAAGCAGCCCAGAAACTGAGAAAAAAGTGTTCAAGCAAGCTTTTGTCTGTGTACTGGAAGACACATGGACAACATCTACCATGAACCAGACTGGCCATATCAATAATTAAATACAGTTTTTTCCCCCTCCAGTTTTACCTAGCTGTAAACAGTTTGATAAAGCTCTTTATGAATAATCAAAAGCAACAACATTAACCTGAAAGCTATAAATAAAATAAGTGAAGACTGTAGAGATTCCTCCGACACACACACACGCACGCACATGCGCACGCAAGCCACTTGGGAAACACAAACTAAGACAAAACCAGAATGTAGGTACTTCTCTGTGAGAACATAACTGCATTAAAAAAAAAAAGAGAGAGAATGTAATACAGGGAAACAACAGGAACACCTCCAGCTATCTTTCACGTCAGATCTTGTCTTGTCCAGATACAACAGGTGGCCTCACACTTATCATGGAGCGTCCTGTAACCTTCCCTGACGACCCATCCCAGCCCCGTCAGGCAGCACTTTAATACAAACCAGCACTGACAGATTCTGTAGGCATTTGCTGAACACAACAGGAGGCTCTCTGGAGCGTCTGATCTACTTAGATCAGGGTTCTCTGCTTTGATTATTACTTCTCGTTGCCTCATCTACACTTTCTGAAGATTAAGGAATAGAACTAAACACCCTTGAACCCCCAGGAAAACAAACTCTTGATAAAGAGAAAACTCCCATAGCAAATTGCTGACGGTGCTTTTTGCCTGTTTGCTTTTGAACATTCTTTTCTTCATCAAAACACAGGGTGAGATAATTACTGGGTCTGATTTTTAATATTTCCAACTATTTGGTTTATTTTAGATGTGTATTTGATAGGTCAGTGTAGAGTTGACCTATTCCCATATCAAACCCCACTTGATCCCCTATGAATCTGATCTGATAGAAATCAATTCCCCATGGTTTTCCTGTCAACATTATGTTAATTTACCAAGCTTATCTCTAAGAATCACTGAAAATCTCCAAATGTGAAACACTCTTTTATTCCCTGTTCACCAATTATATTCCAGACCACTGCAGCTCCACACAGCATGGACTATGCAGCACAACAGGAGCTCTGCCAGTAAACTAAAATATTCATGAGACGTAGGGTTGTGCAGGACTATTAACATGACTTGCCTCTCATTTAGCACACCACTGGGCTGTACTGATGGCAATGTCACCACTTCCATATGACTCTTCCAGGAGCCAGCAAACAAGGCAAGGAGGGAAGAAACCCTCCATCTGCAGGCACAGGGCTCAGGGAGAAGAGTGAATGGGAATATTTAATGGATGTCTCCTCCTCTTGGTACTTACAGACCTGCAGACATGGATCACCTTAAACCCAGAAGAATAATCAATTCCCTACCTAAAACCCAACAAAGACTATTAGAGGTGCTGAACACACAGCAGTGAGATGGTATCAGCGTTTTGAAGACTGCAGTGGCACAAAGAAACGCATCAGCAGGAAACATTGGGGGGAAAGCAAATGTCTATAAAAGTCACATTCTGCTGCAGATGTAATGGAGGAAAAATAAAACAACTGAACTGCTGGTTTCCCAGTTGGCAGGTATTTTAGAATCTAAATGGCCCTGAAAACTTACTAGAGTATAAAATTGCTGTAATTTAAAAGACTTCTAATTAAAAAGCTATAACATTAACTTTTGGTCCTCTCCCAACCCCCTACTTCTTTTCTTTAAATATTTGCCTCACCAGTACAATAAAAATGAAATTAAAAAATGTATGTAAGGAACTACATCTGGCTGAAGACTTACAAAGAGCAAAATAAAACATGCCAGAAAATACACACAGGTTTACATTTATTTGAGACTGCTAAAATGTACAGCAACCCAAAGCTTTAATTTTTCATGAAATCCACTATGTAATTTCTTCTTTGCTTATTCCATCTAGAATGCTCTTACCCAGTTCCCACTGATAGTGTAGGATTGTCTCCTAATGTGGGTTCTTCAGCAATAACCCACCAAATTATGGAGTCATGAGTAACAGGGCTCCCTTCACATCACACTAAAGCTCACTATTAGCAGCTTTCCTCTTGGCTTGGCTGAAGTAGCCCCCTTCCCAATTTTTCTGCCAGTCCTCAAAATCCCACCACTGAGTGGGGGGAATCTCTGTTGTCCCTCCATGAAGGACAGCGCTGGCCCATGGCTGCTGGAGGGGACACGCAGGTGCCCCAGTGCCGCGTGACTCCCTCATCCCCACAACCTGCTGACTGCCTGCATTTCTGCTGCCTTTGCAAAAGCCTTCACAATTTAGTACCAAATAAATTACCAGTGGTGGAGGCTCAGCTGCCTATACTTTAGTGGCTAATGCTGATTTAAGTGCCTGAGGTAACTCGCACATCTGCAGCTGTCTGGATGACACAGCAGAGGTCCTACAGGAGCTCTATACCCCTGTGAAGCTGAAGACCTGGTGGGTTTGCCTGCTGCATCTCTAATATCTGTAGAAACTTGTTTTTAAGGAAACTGAGTCTCCTCCTTTCTTCTGAGGCAAAAGAAAAGTTTATTTCTGGTGAAAACCTAAACAGATTATCTGTTGAATACATGCTACACTAACCCTCAGACGTACATGATGATAGAGCCCACAACTGAGATCAGCTACATTTACAGGCTGGAGAGTCATCACAGCTGTACACTGCATCCTTCTGGTGATTCATGGGGTTATTCCTCTGCTCACACTTACCCAGCTTGTGTTTCATTGCCCTTTCTGACCTGTCCAGGCACATTGCCATTTATTAACACAACTGCATTACCAGCTCTTCAGTCTCACCTTCTAAATACTATGCCAGTCGTGCTGCTTGGGAAAAATTGGGACTGGCTGCTGTAAAAACAGTGCAGCAAGATGCCAATTTACTGTCTTTACTGCTCTGTCCACCTCTTGCTAGTCCCTTGTCTTTTCTGTATGAGAAACCACTGGATTTACCAATGTCACCAGGATTATGTACAAACTGCTTAATATTTTCACTTAGTGTTGTATTTTGATGGAAGGCTCTGGAGGTTAGATACTAAAGCCTGGACCTTTGCCATCATAGAATGGTTTTAGTTGGAAGAGACGTTAAAGATAATGATAGATTCAATCCCCCTGCCATGGACAGGGACACTTTCCACCAGACAAGATTCCTCTGCCAGTTGCCTCCATTGATAGAGATGGAATTACTAAGAATTGTAAAGACAGTAAAAACCCATCAGGACTTCACTTTTACACTGTTCTATAAAACACAGACAGTAAGTGAATGAGAAATTACAGCTCAGGTAATTTCCTACAATCAAAAAGTAAAAAACTGACACTGATTAATCTGCTCACATTGTGGAAGTGGTGACAGCAGCAGGATAGAGGGCTAAATAATTCAGCTTAACTTGCAAGGTAACTTTCAAAACACCACATTGTAGAGTTTTTAATAAGATTCAAAGACTTAGTTCTTATGGCAGAAATATGGACCAAGAAACAGATCTTCTTAACACCCAATTTAAAAAATTCTCAAAAATCCCTCTAAATAAATCCAAGAAAGATCTGAATGGAAACTGCAAAAAAATGAGGCAAAAAGCCAAGCTCACAGCTCTTCATCTCAAGCAACAGAGATTTAGAAGCAAAAGTATTTTTAACCTTTACCTTCACAGTAGCACCATTAATTCTTATCCACTCTCCCCTCCTGCATCCAATGCCCAGTGGCTCATGCTCCCCTGTCCCAGCATCATGTCCTGCATCTGTCAGCAGGGTTGGACTGGGAACCACTGACCACCCTACAAATATTCTGATGCTTGTTTCCAGTCCCTTTTAGGCACTATTGATAGTGCTGCAGATTTTAACCAGAAATGCTCTGAAACCAGAGCTTTAGAATTTCACTACTGAAGATGTGCGGGAATGGGAATTGGAGATCATTTCTGTGGCTTCATCTTCTATGGAAGGACACAGGATTTTTGAACCATGTTTGCTTTATCCATGTTTTCCTGATCCAAGAAGAGCCCAGAACTCCATGTCAGGCATTTGGACTTAATGTACTATGTGTATGTATATTTATATGTATATATGTTTAAGTCTCACAAAACCCAGCAAACTGAGATGAAAACTCCCAAAAGGCAAGAACCTCATTAAGTATCTGCAGCCCGGCAGGAAAGCTGGGGGAAGTAGTGAGTCTCAAATCCTCCTGCACTTCATTTAGGGCTGTGTGGCTCTGAAGCCCCACTGTGGGATGGAAGCTCAGAGGCCCAGGTGTGTATCCTTGCTCTAGGAATACTGAATGTTGTTCAGAAACATTGCTGTGCTATAAAACAGCCCTGGAGAATTAGAAGTGTAAGTCTGAATCTCCTCAGACTGAGAAGGCAACTGAAGTAGGTCTTCTATTTCATAAGCTAGTGATCTGATACTGTGGTTATTTTATAAAATTAAAGTATTTTTTTTTGTACTGCTTCAGTACTTGTAACAATCTGGGGCTTGACTGGTGCACTGAGAACTTCTCTGCCTCTAACAAGAGCAGCCTGGCTGCTATCTACAGGGAAATGCTTCTCTCCAGGGCCCAGCAGCTTGTGATGCCAGCTCTCTTACAAACCCTCATTATTCAGATCAAGATAAACCCACCTCCCAGGCTTGCAGGTTCCCCGACGCATGCTTCTGTAATTGGATTTTTCACCTCCAAAGGACACGTGCATCCTGGATTTGCAAGCTCCAGTCTGACTTTTAATAACTGAGACTGACTCTCACTGACTTGAGAGTGAAAACATCACAAGGATATTCCTGAAACACCGAAAGTGTTATTCCTTATTTGCCAAGTCAAAAACGTATCTATAAAAAAATCAATACAACCCCCTAAAATTAAATGTATAATTAAATTAAAATTATTTCTTAATGTTATATTACAAAGTTATGTGCCATATCAGTTTGACTAACTGAGGAACAATTCAATATTTTTACCTTTATTTTACTGAACCCCAAAATTGCCCTGCAGGACTGAACCCTTACTCCCAGACTATGTGTTTTGGCAGACTACCTTTTTCCTTCTTTTGTTTTAATAAAAGATAATTTGCTGTTGTTTTTGTTGTTTCTTGGTTGGTTTTTTGGTTGGTATGTTTTGTCTTGTTTTGCATGTAGTTGGACTTGCCTTTCTTTTGTCAAATGCAGGACATATCCCTTCATTCTTCTTCAGACCTTGGCTTTTTCCTTTCCCTCTTACAAATGAGCAGAGCATCCACTGCCAGGAAAAAGCTTCTCCAGAGAGCACACACCTGACCACAGAGCAGAGATGATGAACCTGCCACTTGGAATCTCTATCCAAAATCCTCCTTCCCCACCATTTTTGACAGTTTTAAAATCTCCTGAAGCTATGCTATTTACAAAAAAAAACGACAGCTGCTGCTGACCTGAAGTCTTATATTCAGATTTCCTTAAATCCCTTTATTTTTTTTGAAAGGCACACTCTGAGAAATGTCACTTTGCTGATTTTGGTAAAGGACCACTTGGTTTCCACATCCCAGACAAGTTTAACTCTAAGGTAGGGACAGGCCTTGCATGTACAGATTTCTAGCTGAAGATGTCAGGAGTATTCCAAATTTTGAAAAAGTAAGACATCTGCAGAATTTGCAGTTATCCCTTGGGTTAGGCAGCAGGAAGATTTAGGGTTAAAACTTTGGATTTTGTAATTTGAACTTTACTTCCCTACCCCCATTCCC